TTTATTTAATTCAAGTTTTTTAAGTAGCACCAGGTAAGTTTCATCTTATAATTATTAAGCTATCTTTCGATCAGTATTTATATGAACGTTCATCATGTGTATATGCAAATATCATGATTAGTTTGAATTTTATTTCTAGTTTCAAATGAAATGATTATTGATAAATATGACTGTTTTGACGAATGATTTTAAATAGATTTGTTGAGTACTTACTTATGATATGTCAACTTAAACCTCTTTAATCTCTATCTTCCACTGGAGTAGGCATAGGAAATTATATTATTGACAAGCAATTAAACCGTGTGATTTATAATTAACTTTATATTATGTATAGAAAACTTTATGAACTCGCAGGTGCTAAAAAAAAAACATAGTTTTTTTTTTTGTTTCATTGTCCTGTCTCTAAAAAGCATAAGGTACAAAATTGAGAAGTTTGAAAAAATAATATTTTCCTTGAGAATCTTTTCTACTTGCAGACAAAATAACTTTCGAAGATGTATTATGCGATATATATCGATGAAGATGTTTACTAGTGAATTCCATGCATTTCAGAAATTTTCTAATAGCTTGGCTGATAAGCAATGCTGAAGTGATTGGATGGATTCTGCAGCGACCATCGGGGAATAAAAGAAGGAATGACATAGACCATGTATATTCTTTTTTTTGTAAACTTTGTCACATTAGACGTTGAACAAGAATATTATCCTCGATGAAATCTCTTCGTTGATTATATTATTATTGAGTGACTAAAGAGGTGTTTTCGAAAAAAAACAAATTCTATCTTAAGTACATGTATTAATTAAAATATTTTTCATGTTTTCTTCGTTTCTTTTATTATATTAATCAAATGAAAAAGAAAAAAAAACCGATGCTACTTTTGTAAAGGGAAAAAGTACGAGTTTTCAAAGTGTTCTACTTTTTCCTTTCTTCCGACTAACAATTGCTGAACTTGTTATGATTTGCGTATTCTTTAGATGTAATCATAAGCATTTTTCCTCCTTATATAAATGGTTATATGTATGTACTTTTGTTCTAATACTTTTCTCTTGATGTTGATCATGTTTCATTAGGATTTTCCTTTCCTTCTAATCCTCCTTCTCTATCAACTTGATTTCTGAAACTTCTTTCCTTATTCATCATCTATGGGATTTTCCAGTGTATGAATTTTCTTTTTTCCTTTACGATTTATGAGATTTTTCATCGCATGAGTTTCTCTCTTCTATTATCACCCTCTATATACTTGTTACATTTTGGTGAAGATGGAAATTGATGTATGAAAATAAAATATAAGTGAGATAAAGATCTCACAGGACTGTCAAAACTACTTCACATATAAGATAATGTGTCTAGTCGTTCTATCAAGACCATTAGCATGCGAACGTGATCAATATTCTATTTGAATGGTTATTTCATCAGTAGTTGTTCTCTGTCGTCACTATCGGAGATAAGGGGTTAATATCAACATTTAAGTATATATAGACATTTTTACTAATGCAAGCATTTAAACCTATTCTTATTTTGCATAATTAATTTTCAGGTTTTTGTTTCTATTCAATTTAACTACGTATCATATAGAATTTGATGTTACTACATACTCTTTTCAATGATTGTAAAATGTACTCTTTTAGAACATCTAAAGTATAATTATTATTCAACAAGAAAAGCGTAATATATCAGAAACATCCCGTGTTTATTGTGTATTATTCAGTGATTCTTTTGAAACAATTTTGACAAGGAAAACAGAAGAGTATTTCTATTTTTATTCTTACATAATGCAAAAATAATGAAGTGACAAACGTTGTTCTTTATTTTCTGTTAACGAATTTATCTGTTGTTGATAAGAGTATTGTAGTATATACGGAAATGATGTTTAAGAATTTTTAAAACTTTACCATTAGTGCATATTTTGTTAAATAATGTAAAAAAAAAACCTCTTTTCATGTGTATTGATTAATAAAACGATTTGTCTTTTTTTCTTCTTTTATATTGTCAACATGTTTTCATATTCATTAGATTAAATAGTCAATATGTTAACAAATTTTACTCTTTAAGATAATTACATATCTAATTTAGTAATAATATATTTTCTAGTTTGTTTACATAGTAGTATTTCTTCGTATCATATCTATAAATGAAAAGCCATAGTTGAAGATTGAAAAGTATATAATACAAATATTTAGATAGAATATCAATAATACTAGATTAATAGATTATTAAGAATATTTTTTCGAGAAAAACTTCATTAAATATGATATCATGACTCTTATATTTAATGAATATGAAAAGAGTTTCTTATAGATATTTCATTATTTTTCCTAGAGAAAAGAAACACTCTAATTTATTTCAGGATGTCACTGTCAATACTTGTGTTAATTAAATTTGTTTTTCTCGTTTGTAGAAATGTGAAAATAATGAGATGGACTCTTTAAATCATGTCTATAGTTGATGAACATGCCTATTTACCACTTTCCTTAAGCACCTTTCTTTTCTATATTTTTTGTGAAGAAAATGTAATTGTTTCTTTTTTTCTGTGATTTATTTTCATAATAAAAAAGCAATCAATATGATTAAAAACTAAAGACTTTATATAGTTGATAATTTATAATTCATGTCTGTCGTAGAATTTTCTTACAATGATTATTGATGTTCAAAAAAAGAAAGTCATGAATATAGTGACGAAAAATGATTTTTGTTTTTTAACATAAAACATAAAGCTTTTATGTTTAAATAGATAAAAAAGAATAGCTCCATAAAATTGACTAACACATTGGAAAAATAGATTATAACCATTATTTTTTCATTTTAACTCATTATCAAAAAAAAAAAATCTTGTCGTAGATTAAACGAACACTAATCTGACAAATGTTTACATGTCTAATATAAGTAGAGTTAATAAGACATTTTGTCTCTATTCTTTAAGTAAGTATATAAACGTCATATGCAATAATTATTCTTTTTTTTTTTCTTATTTAAAGAATAATAATTTTCACTTCGGGTTTTTGTTTTGTTTTCTATTGAAGATGGGCTTGAATTCAACAAAGCCTTCATTAACGAATAATAAATATTCATTAACATTTTCATCAACAAATAATTTTTATCGTGGTCATTCAATAATTCACGGTAATTTTCGTATAAATAGTCATACAAAATTACGTATTGAAAAAAAAATTCGTGTTGATTTAATTGGTCAATTAATTGAAAATAAAAAATCTACATTAAATTTAACAAAAAAATCTTTACAATCAAATAATAAAAATAGTAAAATTTTTTTTACATATTCATTTCCACTTGTTACATCACATGAAAATGGTATTGCAAGAATAATACAAAATCGACAAATTAATTTTCCATTTCGTATTCCACTTGGCATCAATTTACCACCATCATGTGAATTTACAGAATTTTCTATTATTTATTATCTTGATGTTTATCACGATGAACGCTTATTACCAAATATTCGAAAGAAAATTATATTAGCACCACAGGCACCTCTTATTACTATTCCATTACCTTGTAAAGTAACAGGTAAGAAAATCTTTAATATCATACTCATGTTTATCTTCTATAGAAAATTTCTTCAACTGAATGTAATTAAATTTAAGTATAGAAAAAAATTATTAGTATAAACCCGTGGGACTTAAATATGAACCATAACGGTATTGCTAACATTACAAAACAGAGAATTCATCAATGTTGATTTCGGGTTGTTAATTATTGCCTATTATCAATGAACGTTGACGATGAAAAATGATCATTAGTTTTATATTATAGTCAGTGTCAAAGAAAGACAAATGACATCTATATGAAATTCAACTGTATTTCATATTAATCCTACTGTAGACTTCAATCTGGTGTATATGCTTACCATCGTTCATAAGAAGGAAATGGCAGTACTAAAGTACCTGTAATAGAAGAGAAGCATTTGTGATAAAGAAAAGAAGGCGTTGTCGAGGGATTTGTTATGATCGGTGTAAGGAATGAAGTGCAGATTTCTATCCCTATACATTAATACTTCTTTTAAATCGTGTTTCATAAAAAGCAAACGAGATAATCATAATCATTCAATGTCTAATGAGAAAGACATGAGTCTCGATGTGAGAGAGAGAGTATGGTGACCTATCCCCTTCCCTGCCATTTTTTACGCCGTGCCTACGAAAATTGTCTACCAATTTTAAGAAAGCAACTTGTCACAGTCACTTTCTGCCAGACAAATTGTTTGTCTAATTTTTAGACCCTTTCGCTTTTAATAGTTATCGAGAGCTGTGCAAAAAGATATTCAAGTTAGGCAACAAAAAAAAATCCATTGCTTGTGTTTCGATAAATATGTGAAAATATTTGATTTCTTGTATTTTTGAACCGATATATAAAATATGATAGAATGTTGTGGTAACTTTAGAACTGAAATAAAATGTTTTCTGTTATTTTCAATTTTTCATCTAACTTAAATAAAATTCTGAATAATTAATCTATTGATTTTTTTTTTTTGTTTAAATTTAGGTTGTAATGATATAAACATGATTTGTAGTTTACAAAAATCATTTTATTCTGGACGAGATGGTTCTATTATTCTATTATCAATATCCATAACAAATCCAAAACAAAAACAAATTCAATTAGTTGTAGCACAATTAATGCAAATTGTTTCATTAAATGAAATAAAATTTGAAAATGAAATTTTTACATATCAACTTAATGAAATCAATGAAAATACACAAGAAATTCAAATAAATCGAATATGTGAATTAAATTTACCATCAAATTTACCACCAACATATATACCAAATGAAAATGGTCAACCAGATAATGTTCCATGTATTGCTATTACATATGAATTACGTATAACAGCTCAAATGAAAGGTGCAACCACTTCTAATCTACGTTTATCTGTACCTATTGGTATTGAATAAATAAAAATTCTTTTTTTTTTTCTCTTTGTATAATAAATTCATTTGTTTTCAAAAGTCGAATATATATGACGAAAAAAAAAAACATTATGTTGATTATTTTCGTTGTAGTGTATTTTTACTGGTAGATGTTGTTGATTGATTAGAAACAGAATAATGAGTTCGTTTGTTAGTTTTTGATGATGAAACAATTGAATGAGATGATGTATTTGCATTGATTTGATTCACTATGGATTTGACACGATTTTTATCAATAGAAGATGTTGAATCTAAATGGAATAAAATTAACATATATATTTATTTTATTTTTCTATATTTAAAATTTCATTAGACTTTTTTCTTTTATATAAAAATGATTAATTAACAAATAAATGAAAATTAAAATAATTACTTGTTTTATTTTGAGATTCATTTATTTGACTACTATTTATTGATGATTGCTGTTTTGTAATAGATGATGACTAAAATAGAATAGGATTTCTTTTTTTGATATTAAATAATAATTGTTTATATATACCTGTGATTGAATTTTATTAGTCGTATTTTTTGTTGGTTTTCTTATCATTGATGTATTTGTACTGTTGATAAACTTTGAAGATGGTGATTTTAATCTAGTAGAAGATACAGTAATTTTTGAAGATTGTCCTAAATGAGAGATATTCGCTTTTGTTGTTGTTGTTGGACGTTTTGATGTTTGTAAAATTGGTTTATTATTATTATTATTCTTTAGTGGTATGAAAGATGTACGAGTTTTATTATGACTATTGGAAAGAGTAGATGAAGTGTCACTACTTGATGATGTGTTATTAATTAAATAATTGGAGGACGTTTGAATAGCAGGAAAACTAGAATGAGAAAAAATTACATATGAAAATATAGAAGAATATTTACTTTTCATTTAGTGATGAATTAATGGATGATGATGGAAGTTTTGGTTCATCAATTGTTACTATATTTTGAGGAGATGTACAATTTATTTCAATTTCTTGATGTTGTTTTTCACATGCTAAATTAAATTTTTCTTTAGTTGTATTTTCTTCAACGATAACAACATGTTGATGATTTGATGATGAATTATTTTCATTAGTATTTGTACTTTGATAAAATGTTTTTATTGTATATGTTGTTTCTTCTTCATGTAGAGAATTTTCTAATTGATGTTTTTCATTTATTAGAATTGATTTTGATGATGATGGTAATAAAGATTGATCTGAAATTTCTTTTAAATCATTATTAATTATTGATGATTTAATATAAACATCAAGATTAGTTGTACTATCATTGATTTTTGTTGATAATGTATGATTATTGGGAATAATAGTTGAAGATCCTACTTTAGTTGCTGATAAAGAACCATTAAGATCATTAAATTTTTTAATAATTGTATCAATTGTATTTAATTTTTCATTACTTTCAACAATAGCTAATACAGGTTCTAATTTTGATGATGATGAGGAAAATGTATTTAATTCAACAGGTTTGATGAATTTTGGTTTAGAAAGAAAAGTAGATGGGAAATTTTTGTTTTTTTCAATTTGTCTTATTGATATTGAAGATGAAGAAAAATTTGTAGTTATTGATGATGATGATGATGATGATGGCAAACAAAATGTAACATTAGTTGGTCTTTTTCTTTCATTATTTGATAAATTCTTAATATCACGTGCTACTAAATTAGCATATTTTGAAATCGATTTTTTTGGATTTAAATAAATTTGTTCTAAACGTTCTTTTGCTTGTTGAAGGGCAATTATTGTTAATTTATATTCTGTATTAAGACGACGAACACATTGATTCCATGTTAACATTGATGATGATGATGGTAATGGTTGTATTATAGAAGATGAAGGTCGAATGTATGGTTCATCTAATGACGATTTGATTTCACGACGAGCATATGATCGATAATTATATAACGAAATAGGCAATTGATCATTTGATGAAGCTTCATTACAAGGAGTCAAATAATTATATGGTGAATGTAGGCGGGTTGAATATGTCGAATGTCGAGTTAATGTTGATGCATATGACCGTGGACATGAGTCTAGAGTTAAGAAAAAAAAAAAAAAAAGAATAATGATGACTAATGTTCGTACTGTAATTAAAGAAGAGTGGATGTAAGCTCAATAATTCAACAACGACAATCGCTATTGATCTACAATTTTCAACAATCGAAAGAGTAGGACTTCTCATGTCTTTTTTTTTTGTCTGATACGATCTAAGACAAAATTATTTTAAGAGTCATCATCTTCGTAAAAACATTCAACAAAAAAAAGGCGCATGAAAACGGTGTTGTATTTCAAGGAAATTTACTAAAAATCAATAGAATTCACTGAATAATTATGTGATGTTGTTTGTTTAATATTGACATATGAGAAGATAATCACTCAAAATTCTTCTATCTTAAAATTATTGAGCTTATACCCACTCGTATTTTATTCTGACATCAATATTAGTTGTTTTTTTCTCAATAAATTGAATTAAATTTCTTTTTTTCTTCTCTCACCGTATTTGTTCACAGGTGTGAAATAATATTGATATCGTTTATTTAATATATCATTATAGTATTGTTTAGGTATTAATAATGATGGTTTTGAATATTGTTTATATTTATTTTGACATTGCTTTGATGAAAATTTATAATCATTTTGATCATTATGAATAATTTGATGATTCATCATATCTTTAGAATTTATTTTATCAACTTTAATCATGTTTGATGTTGAAAAATAAATTTTAGGAGTTACTAGATCTAATGATGTATTATTGTTTTCAGTATTTTCATTAATATCAGTCGAATTGAAAGAAGAACAAAGCGTATTAACAGTAGTATGTTGTTGATTTGATGATGATGATGGTGATGATTGCTCATTACTATTACTACTATCATGATGTTTAAGTTCTGACGAGCGAAAAAATGCTCGTGCTTTTTCAACTGCACTATTAGATAATACTGTATGAGGCAATTTCTTCAAAAATTCTATTAAGAAAAAAAAAAATGACTAATGAATATTATGAGAAAAAAATCTATTAATTGAACATACCAAATTTAGACTTGAATCGACTTTCACTTTTTGAAATGTTTTTATCATTTCTATTTTTTTTCATATTTAATGGTCTATCTTCAAATTGCTGTTGTTCAATCCTGTCGTGATCACCTATGTCAATGAGCCAATTTTATTTTATTCATTGATTATAAACACATACCGACTCATCTATAAATCTTTTTACTTTCATTTAATGAATAATAAATGGTTGAATGAATACGAAAATGGTTTAATAATATACCAAATATGAAATAGTAAGCGCAAAATCGAACCATATTTAAATAGACATATGCATGTGATTTGATCAACAATAACTATACATATATATATATATATATATTCGTTTTCTCAATGTGTCTTTACAAATAAGAATGTGAATGAATGAATGAATGAATGAGACGGCGATTGTTGACAAGAGCTTTTTCTCATCAATGTCAATGGGTGAGAATTGAGTGTTCAATTATAGGCACTTTTCAATAAGTGAATTACATGAATTCTTACGTAAACGCATATTATTTCCTCACTAAAATAATTCTTCAATATTTTATGACGAGTTCTAATTATTGTAATGCACATATACACGTATATATCTATATATACATATGAGAAAAAAAAAAAAAAGTAATTAACAAAGAAGCAGTGAAATTGTATATGTATAGTATAGGTATCCGATGTCTGTACGAGTCGTTTTTCTCATTTGTTTGATTTGAAGTATGATATGAAGAAAAAAAAGTAGGAGGAGATATTCAAAAATTTCTAAGTGATATGTATCCCTATTGTCGTGAATATATTAGGATGGGAGAATGTCAACACCTTTATTGGCTGATCTCTATCTCCTTATTAATATCGCTATCATTTGAGGTTAGTATTAATTTACTGTAATAATTGAAGAAGAACGAATGAACGCAAGTGATGGATAAAATCACATCATCAGTTTTATTTTTGTAGTTTTGACTGTTTTATGGAATTAGAGAGAATTTAGTTTTTTTGTAAGATAAAATAAGTATATTTTATTATAAATACTGTAAAAAGAAAACATATCTCTAAAAAATAAGTAGTAGAGAGAGAGAGATGATTTCGGTGTTAGAGATATATTCACTGTTATCATTTCTTTCTTTTCTCTTCTTCTTCTTCTTCCAGGTAAAGCCGCATGTTAACTAAAGAAAAAAATAAACAATTCATCACATACATGTAATCATATCTGTGCTTACATTTCTATATATAGACGATACTTATCGTACCATTTTTTCTTTAACTAAATTTGTCCTACATTTATTTCAAATATCATTCATGTCAATATACAAACTTTTCTATTTTAATCTTCGTGCTCGTGCTGAAATTTCTCGTTTAATATTTGCTGCTGCTGGTCAAAAATTTCAAGATGTTCGTTATGAACGAAATGAATGGTTATCACATAAGAATGAAATGCCTTTAGGTCAAGTGCCTGTTCTTGAATTTAATGGAACGAAATTACCACAATCATTATCAATTGCTCGATTTCTTGCTAAACAATTTCAATTAGCTGGTAGAGATAATTTTGAACAAGCAAAAGTCGATGCTGTGATTGATACAATTAATGATGCAATGATGATATTTATGCCAATTCGTCGACAAGAAGATGAAATGAAGAAGAAAGAACTTATGAAAAAATTCTTTGCTGATCAATTACCTAAACATTTAAAAAATCTTGAAACTTTAGGTAAATTATATGGTGATGGTGGTCCATTTTTTGTTGGTAATCATTTAACATGGGCAGATTTATATTTCTATGATATATTAGAAACTCTTCTTTATGCAAATGAAAATTGTTTGAACAATTATGCATGGTTAAAACAAAATCGTGTTGAAGTTGAAAAACAACCAAAAGTTGCAGAATACCTCAAGAATCGACCAAAATCAACAATGTAAAAAAGAAACAAAATATTCATAGACTTTTTTTTTCTTCTAAAATATATTATGAGAATAAAACTTCAAATGATCTTTTTCTTTGTATCCTTGTGAATCTTGTTGAATATCAAATATTATTAAAACTATGTCGGATTGATGTTTGCAATTCTTTTTTATTCATTTTACAGGAATATGATTCTTTGAATCATTCATTTTGTTTTTGCAAGAATTTAAAAATGGATCAAACTAAATCCAACAATAATGAAACTTCGAATTATTCAAATGAGAGTTTTGATCATATGCTGAATAGCTCTTTTTTTCATATAGTATGCGTAACTTTGATTATAAATAATGGTTTCATTTAAATAGCATTATATAATTAGTTGGTCGAATATGAAAAGGTATTCTTAAACATAGAAGTTGGAAAAATTTATCTTTTAAGTTATGCATTGTTCTTAGTGCATATGCCACTTGAGAGTTTCGTTTGGTGTGTATGTGAATTAGTGATAAATGAAATTGAGTAAAAGCTAAGAAGTACGTACAACTATCATCTTAATTGTTTCTATTGAAATGCTTCCGATTGCATTAATACCTTGCTCGATGTTCTGGTCACCAACAGTGTTTGATCGAGATTTTCACTTCTGAAGAGACAATTTAAAACTCTAGAAGTGCCAATTTGATTTTCGGAGGGTCACTGCTTCCACGCTGGATAACACATTGGTTACCAGTAGAGCCCGTCGGGCCCAGGCCAACTCGACGGCCCCGAATAATCAGATTCTTTCTTTCGTATATGAATAAGATTGTTTTAATATTAGAGCTCACGTATGTTTCATACTTATCTTGTTAATACCAATAAATAAAAACAAAAACATGAGAATTAAACAACTTTGTTTATCTCCTTGTGTTCTTTTTCGTAATTGTATATTCTAGCGATCTTAAACATTATTCTCAAGATTTACTAGGAATCGAATTTATCGAAGATTTTCAGAGAAACAAATTACGATTTCAATTTGAGATTTTCTTTAAAATAGCTATTGCTTTCTTGTTGACATATTGAATGTTAAAGAAAAATTTTCATATTATAACTCAGTTGTTGGATTTTTTCCTCAGTACTGTAAGAAGTCGATGTTTTAATAAAATCAATATTATACATAACATAATATTTTCAAATGAATTTATTTTGATTTTAAGTAGGAGAACAATGAATCGTTTCTCAATTATTCAATCTTAAATTCTTATTATTAAATACATAACTATTGAAACCATACATCAATAGAATGGGTATTCAATCTGTGCAACACTTATCTTTTTTATTTCTTCGATTTGATGTTTGATATGAGGAAAAGTAGCATAAGCCTAAATAGGTCGTCTCGACGAGCTTTTGGGATCGAGTGATAACCGATTTATTGAATTTTCAAAACATTTTTAGGTACTTCTTGAAAAAAACCAAATAACAAAGTTTGGATCTAAAATTTTGCCCATAGATACGTGTATTGATTCTTAGAACATTCTGCAAGTTTTAATCGAAAAGAATATTCCTTCATTACGTTATTCAGTTTTCAAATGAACTTCATTTTTGTCGTACGCTTAAGACATAGAAGCAATTTTTGGAAATTCAATATCTTCACAAAAAAAAAACTATTCTTTTTGGTTAAAACTTTCAGAATATTCTAAGAGTCAGTAGATCAATCTATAGGCAAAATTTTAGATTGAAACTCCATGATTTGACTCTTCGAGAAGTACCTACAACTAATTCAAAAGGTTATAATTTGGTGCCAAAGGCCTAGAGGAATGAACCCATTTAGACTTTAGCTAATTTCCTCAGAATCTCCTTCTGAACTCAATATGAACTCAAGTAGTCGGTGTCAATTGGGGTAATTCTCTCGTAATTGGTCTTTTTCAATATTGTCATGAACATAAGTATATGAGAATGTGCATATCATCATTAAAGAATATTTACCTATTTGTTATATCGTCATTATTAGATTATTATCGATCTATTGCAATATAAATTTTGTTTTATATACAAATAAATTATAATCTACGATTCCGATTAATTAAATGGACTTTTTCTAAGAACAAACATGCAATATAACGACTGATGCAAAAGTCTTGGCACAAATGTCGAGACCTGTAGTATTTCAACAGAAAGTGCTAGAGATCTAATTCTTTCACCATTAGATAGACCAAAGTGTCTGCTTTCAAACTCACTTTTTGAAAAAAGCTTTTGATGAAGTTAAGGTTTTCAATTTTCAAATTTTCAAAAACCACTAAAAACGGTTTGTAACTTTTGATCCTTTTTCGCGCTTTTTTTTAATTTAAAACAACAGTATTCTTGTCGAATTAATAGATAATGAGCTGAAACTTCCAGGGAATCAAGTCTGAAGTGTAGGGTTTTTCAAAATCTCACGCTGAAATTTGTGCGTATCCATGGTCATCCGCAATCAGACTTTTAAGCGAAAGCACAGCAGTGTTGGATTTTTGGTGCGCAATTTAGGTATTTTTAGGAAGACAAAAATTTTTAATTAGTCCAAAAGATGCTGCTTTTCAAGACCTTTCAGAATCCATATGAAAAACTGGGAATAGGCGTTTTCATCTCCTGAAAATCAGCTAAACACTACTAATGAATAAAATAGCGCTTTGGCGCCAATTTCGTCATAATTAAATCCACTTATAACTTAGCCAGACTATGTTTGATTGAACCAAGCTTTTTTTTTTGAATCGTAGCTACTGAGCTACTAAATTTTTGTAGCACAGCGAAAAACTGTGAAACTTACATAAAGGTGTGTTATCGTAACATTTCCTAATTTCGCATGGTTACAAGTCGTTTTTAGTGGTTTTTCAAAAATTAAAATTTGAAAACCTTAACTTCATCAAAAGCTTTTTGAAAAAAGTGAGTTTGAAAGCAGACACTTTGGTCTATCTAATGGTGAAAGAATTAGATCTCTAGCACTTTCTGTTGAAATACTACAGGTCTCAACATTTGTGCCAAGACTTTTGCATCAGTCGTTAAACAGATTTTTCTTTTACTTTCCTACGAAGTTTTCATGAATGATAATGGATGAGAAAAGAATGTAACACGTATGCAATAGTTTCTCATATAGATATCTCTTTCTGTGAAAGTCTCATGTTAAATTGTTATTCGTTATGAACATGATGTATAGGCAACTAATGATTTACTAATAGAACGGATATCAACTCGTGTTGAATAAGATATAGTATGCAAGAAAAAAAATTTCTGCCTGATAAATTATGTAAATATTTACACAACTTTGATGTTTTAGATAAAAGATATGTTAATGGTAGTTATTATTTTCTATGTAACTATTCAATATAGCTGGATATATTCTTCTTTGGTATCAAATATATATTTTTCTTGGATTAAATGCTATTTGTTTAAATTATTATTAGATTTTTTAAAAATGTATTAAAGAAGCAAAGTTTTCTTAGATTTGCTTTTACATTTACATATTGTTATACAAAAGAATAATCCGTGACAAGATGAAAAGAAAACTAGAGATTTCAAAGATTTTATTCTGATTTTAAATTTCATCATGTCAAGTTTTTTTCCTTTTTCTAAGGTGCCGATATTTGAAGAAAAGAATAATATAACATCAAAACTTGTGCTAAAAATTCAAATATGGTGAAATAGAATTAAAGTGCGAGAAATTGAAATAAAGGAGAAGAAAATTTGCATCGCCCTTGTTAGATGCATAAAAAATTTGAGTACTCAACTGATTAAAGCATTCATTTTATTCGAATTAGTTAACATGACTCGACCCAGAAAATTAATACAATGAAGATTATTATTTTCAATGTCAAATAATCTATTCTGTTGACTATTAAAAATTCATGCTAACATTTCAATTCATTCGACCTTTGTTTAAAATTAAAAGTTTATCTATTTGTCAAAAGAATCGTCTAAAGTTCGATATATCAATTAACAAACAAAAAAAAACCTCGTTCCGATGAGAATGCAAATGTGTTCTTTTTCTCCTAGGTATAAATCTGCGTTGTCATCATCAGTCTATTCTTTCTTGATTCTTCCAGGCGTTTGTGCACGATGACGAAGCAAAAAAGAACAATAGTGCATGCATGTGCTATGGTTTCTCTTCTCTCATATAAATATATTCTCATCACAACATACGTGTTAACATTCTTCTACTTCTTCTCATAGTTGAATCTTTGCATCATCATTACCTATGTCGACGTATAAACTTATATATTTTAATGGACGTGGTCGTGCTGAAGTTTCTCGTTTAATTTTTGCTGCTGCAGGTCAAAAATATGACGATGTTCGTTATGAACGAAATGAATGGCCAGCACATAAAAGCGAAATGCCTTTAGGTCAAATGCCTGTTCTTGAAGTTGATGGAACAAAATTACCACAATCATTAACAATTGCTCGATTTCTTGCTAAACAATTTCAATTAGCTGGTAAAGATAATTTGGAACAAGCTAAAGTCGATGCTGTAGCTGATACGCTTAGTGATTTAGTATCAAAGTATGGACCGGTTCGTTTTGAACAAGATGCAACGAAAAAAGAAGAACTTACGAAAAAATTCCTTGCTGAAGAATTACCAAAACATTTACAAAATCTTGAAACTTTAGGTAAATTATACGGTAATGGTGGTCCATTTTTTGTTGGTAATCGTTTAACATGGGTAGATTTATACTTTTACGACATGGCAGCTAATATACTTCAAGTAGATGCAAATTGTTTGGATAGTCGTCCATTGTTAAAACAAAATCGTGCTGAAGTTGAAAAACAACCAAAAATTGCAGAATATCTCAAAAATCGACCAAAAACAGAATTTTAAAGAACAAAAGTTACAAAAATTTATACACTAGCTTTTTTTTGTAATTCTTTTTTCTTTTCACATATTTTTAAATATATGATTTAGAGACAATTTAACTATACTTCTTTCATTATTATAGTACATCTTGTGTTACATGATATAGAATAATACTTAAAAGAATATGTTTTTTATTTGATTAGTTGACATATATCAAGATTGAATCTCAAACTTGATTTCTGTTCTTTTTCAGAAGACATTTACTAACTATATTTAGATACAATAACCAGCGAAACAAACATCTTTATCTATGTACAAAGTCGAGGAAACATCAAGGAAGAAAAAAGAAAAGAAAAGTAAAGAGAGGAGAAAAACAAATGACAGAAAAGCGAAGAATAAGCAGATAAACCACAAAATTAAAACATTCAATTTCGAATTTGATAGTACTAAATCAACAATCACCTTTTATTGTTGATGTTTTCTTTACTAAAATATCAGTTTTCAACTTATCAAAAAGTTCATCATACTCTTATGAATCTAGACGATTATTTTATACAATGATCATCATCATCATTTATGTTAATATAATTTGTCATCCTTATTATTGAAATTTATGTCAATTCAAACCAATTGAATATGGATGTCACTATTTTGATTCATTAGAGTTTTGTGTAAAATTAAAATTGTATTTATTTATAAAATGAATCATCTGAAATTCGTTTGAAAAATTTCAGCAATAGAAAACGTTATCTTTATGTGCGTATGGTGGTATTTTTTTCTATATAAAAATATACGTCATCATCAGATTTTTCTTTCTCGTTTCTTCTATGCATGTACACACAATGACGAGGCAAAAAAAGCCACGTGCACATACGCTGCGCTTTCTTTTTTCTCGTATAAAAAGCATATATCTTACCACACTCGTTCATTTTCTTCTTTCTTTCAGAGTCAAACTAAGAAATAATCATCATCGATGTCGACATACAAGTTATATTATTTTAGTGGACGTGGTCGTGCTGAAGTTTCTCGTTTAATTTTTGCTGCTGCAGGTCAAAAATATGAAGATATTCGTTATGAACGTGATCAATGGCCATCACATAAAAGTGAAATGCCCTTAGGTCAAATGCCTGTTCTCGAAGTTGATGGAACAAAATTACCACAATCATTATCAATTGCTCGATTTCTTGCTAAACAATTTCAATTAGCTGGTAAAGATAATTTGGAACAAGCTAAAGTCGATGCTGTAGTTGATACAACTAGTGATTTAGTATCAAAATATATGCCAGTTCATTTTGAACAAGATCCAAAGAAAAAAGAAGAACTTATCTTAAAATTCCTTACTGAAGAATTACCAAAACATTTACAAAATCTTGAAACTTTAGGTAAATTATACGGTAATGGTGGTCCATTTTTTGTTGGTAATCATTTAACATGGGCAGATTTATTCTTTTACGAGATGGGAGGTAATATGCTTCAAGTAGATGCAAATTGTTTGGATAATCTTCCATGGTTAAAAAAAAATCGTACTGAAGTTGAAAAACAACCAAAAATTGCAGAATATCTCAAAAATCGACCACAAACACAATTTTAACGAACAAAACTAAAAAACGAACATTTATAGACTAGTGTTTTTTTTATTCTTCTTTTAATTTTATTGTAACGTATCATTGAAATGAAGCTTCAATGAACTTCTTTCATTGTTGTACGTTATTTTGCTTCATGTAGTAAGCAAAAAAAGATACTACAAAAAATAAAATTCTTACTTGATACAAAACTTTATCTTTTGTTGAAATTTTTTGATTAAAGTAGAATATAGAATATTCATAGAATCTTTGATTAGCTTAGAAATAAATATAATGAACATAAAAATATATATTAAATTAGGTTTGCTTGAATTATATTCAGTTTCTAGAAGAAGATTAATATTATGTTAAAAATTTATTCAATAAATAGTTCATTATGATTTTCATAGGAACAAACAAGTAACGTTCATCGAGAGTCGATTCATTTATCTCGAGGCTGACGGAATATGGATATCCATGCAGTTGTTTTTAGATGTAAATGTGCGTTAAGAACGCTATTGCACTTAGCATTATGATATTGTTTGGAAAAGTTATCTCCATCGAAAATATGACTAAAATGTCTTATAATATTTCACACGTCGGAATAATATCAATGCACATAAGACTTTCCATTCGTAATAATTTGTTGTTCTAGATTGCCAATGAAACTGCCTCGATAGGACGAATTTTTTCCATTTGTATTGTTATTCATCTTCCCAATAATAATTTTAACAAAATTCAGGACGCATTTTTTCAATTAGTTTATATTAGTGCTATTTCTAGTCAAAATGAAACCGCATTACATTATTTTTATCACATAGTTTAAAAAGAAGACTTTCGTTTATCATAATTCTATGGTCAAATTTACTGAACAAGTCATAATATATGAAACAATAATATGCTTATCTACACATGATTAAGCCAAATTCAATTAGACTTAATAATTTATTAAGAATGCTCGTCAACTTAACTTTTATATAGTTTATATTAGTCTGTTAATTTCAACAACAATGAATAGATGTGTAATGTCTTTATAATCTTTCGTGACGTCGTTTGAATTATATTTACTAGGTGCTCAACTGTACTTTAGTTACTAAATCGCCGTTTTTAGCCATAGCTGCCAGGTGATTACTTGAGTCACAGTTAATCAATGGTCATTTGTGCTATAGTTATCATATGGTAACTATGTTATAGACAGATAGACACATGTGAATTTCCGTTTCTAGACTCTATCCGTTCAGTCTAAGGAATATGTGCAATGGTTTTATTTATTTTTAATACAAAAGATTTCTTAGTTGCATTATTAATATTATTATTCTTTTCTTGGTTCTTGCTGTCAAACTTTTGATTTCACGATAAAGTTAGAACTTTTTGTTTGAAATAAATATGCATCATATAATGCAGCACACATGTATAACATCATTTTTTTAAACACCTATCATTACATCATTACACATTAAGAAAGATTTTATTGCAGGTAATATACAAATGTTATCTACGAGACTTGAAACGATACATCTTTGTTTCGAGATTATTATCATTTTATTGATATCTCAATCTACCTATATGCAGACAATTAGGAAAAATGAAAGAATTATTAAACTTTGAACTGTGATTTGTCTATAAATAGTTTTGCTTCTTATGTAATCTATTTCAATTTTACTGTATCTTCTACCCTTGAAAACGTATTTATGAAAAAATTTGAATTTCGAAATTTCAACCTGGAAACTTACATAAGTACTCGAGATGTCGCATATCCAAAAACAATAATGTATCACAAGGAAAAGTAACAAAGCCCTGTGTTTTCAAGGTTCTATATCCCACGAACAACGCATCTTTTTAGGCTGAGATTTTTAGAACATTCTGAAGTCCACGAGACCTACGAACGGCCAAAACCTCAGATAGAAATTTCGGAATTCGATATTTTTGCAAATACTTTGCGAGAAAGAAAAACTTCAATAAAACTGTAATAGCTTGGAAAAAATAGTGCATGAAGACGAACCCTAATAGGCTTCTACTACTCTTGTCGGCATCTAATTATGGGCAAAACCTCAGTTTAATTGGTGAGTCATACTTGAAGATCGTCACCAGTTAGACATTTTATTAGTTGATTTCAGCTTGAGATTGTACATTTGAATTTCTGTGTCAACTATATTACTATTGGAAGAAAATTCAAAAAAGACTTGGAGTTTCAGAAGTGAAATTCATACAGACGAAGTCTTAAAATCTTTTGTTTACTTCCATGAACAACTAATTTTTATTAATAAAACAAAGAATCAAATTATAAGAAAATCGATATGATTGTCATAGTATAAATGTCGTGCAAAATCAATTGTTCGCATGAAGTGAGAAGTATAAGAGATGTTGTTTATTGATAGATGATGTAATCATTTTCATCTTGAATAAGCATATTGTTCTATTGACTTACATAACTGAATTTATTATTATTTTTTTTTTGTTGAAGGCAACTATGCATCATTAGCAAGCGTTTCTTTCTTTTTCACCTACTTCCAAAGTATTTGTCGATGATAACAAGAAAAAAAAACATGTGTAACATGTGTAATGGTTTGATTAGTGTTATATAAATATCTCTTTCCATCTGTAACAGATTCTCTTTCCTTTGCAAATATCCGTTAGATGCCGACTGCGTCAATGTCAACCTATAAACTATACTATTTTAATGGAGGTGGTCGCGCTGAAGTTTCTCGTTTAATTTTTACTGCTGCAGGTCAAAAATATGAAGATATTCGTTATGAACGAAATGAATGGTCATCACATAAAAGTGAAATGCCTTTAGGTCAAATGCCTGTTCTCGAAGTTGATGGAACAAAATTACCACAATCATTAACAATTGCTCGATTTCTTGCTAAACAATTTCAATTAGCTGGTAAAGATAATTTGGAACAAGCTAAAGTCGATGCTGTAGCTGTACAATTAATGATCTGATACAAAAATACGTATCAGCTCGTTGGGAACCAGATGAAACGAAAAGAGAAGAACTTACGAAAAAATTCCTTGCTGAAGAATTACCAAAACATTTACAAAATCTTGAAACTTTAGGTAAATTGTATGATAATGGTGGTCCATTTTTTGTTGGTAACTATTTAACATGGACAGATTTATACTTTTATGAGATAGGAGCTAATATGCTTCAAGTAGATGCAAATTGTTTGGATAATTTTCCATGGTTAAAACAAAATCGTGCTGAAGTTGAAAAACAACCAAAAATTGCAGAATATCTCAAAAATCGACCAAAAACAGAATTTTAAAGAACAAAAATTACAAAAATTTATACACTAGCTTTTTTTTGTAATTCTTTTTTCTTTTCACATATTTTTAAATATATGATTTAGAGACAATTTAACTATACTTCTTTCATTATTATAGTACATCTTGTGTTACATGATATAGAATAATACTTAAAAGAATAGGTTTTTTATTTGATTAGTTGACATATATCAAGATTGAATCTCAAACTTGATTTCTGTTCTTTTTCAGAAGACATTTACTAACTATATTTAGATACAATAACCAGCGAAACAAGCATCTTTATCTATGTATAAAGTCGAGAAAACATCAAGGACGACAAAAGAGAAGAAAAGTAAAGAGAGGAGAAAAACAAATGACAGAAAAGCGAAGAATAAGCAGATAAACCACAAAATTAAAACATTCAATTTCGAATTTGATAGTACTAAATCAACAATCACCTTCTATTGTTGATGTTTTCTTTACTAAACTATTTCTAGCTATCGACACTGTTGTGGATGAAAGTTGTACCAGTACATTTACAATATGATAGGTTTCAAAAGAAGAATATATTAAAAATTTTAAGTTATTAAATTGCCTAAAATTTTAATAAAACCTTGATGTTTTAGGTAAATGACTTGATATTGACGACTATTTTATCTTTTTCACAAGTGCGAAGTTACTCTTCTATTATTTAGAATACATTTTTCTTGGATAAGATGAAAATTATTTAGAGAACTTTCCAAATTCAAAACAAAAACGTACAGATAATGAACACATACCTAGAAGTGAAGAATATCTCAAGAGTATATTACTAAATGTATTGTCAAACAAAAATCCTTAGAATACCTTATTCCATTAACATTCTATTCTATATAATATTTTATGAAGGTCAAAGTATCTCGATTTTGATTTAAGATCTACATATTTACTATAAAAAACTATATTCCAATCCAAACACAGGGATTAACGGATTCAAAAGACTTTATTATTATTCGACATTTCATCATATCAGATTTGTATATCTTTCTAAGATACATCTATGTCAAGAAGAAGAAGTATGACTTCAAAATTTCAAGCAAGCACCAAGTATGATTGAAATGTGCGATAAAGGATGTCATAAGAAATCTCGTTTTTCTCTTGTTCTTATTAAATACATAAAAAGTATCAGTTTTTAACTTATCAAAAAATTAACCGTACTCTGATAAAGTCAGACGACTATTTTATACAATGAGCATCACCATCATTTATGTTAGCATTATCAATTTTCCCTATTATTGAAATTTATGTGAATCAAAACCAATTGAATATGCATGTCACTATTTTGATTCATTTGAGTTTTGTGTAAAATTAAAATTATATTTATTTATAAAATGAATCATCTGAAATTCGTTTGAAAAATTTCAGCAATAGAAAACGTTATCTTTATGTGCGTATGGTGGTATTTTTTTCTATATAAAAATATGCGTCGTCATCAGATTTTTCTTTCTCGTTTCTTCTAGGCATGTACGCACGATGACAAGGCAAAAAAACCGCGTACATATGTGCCGTACTTTCTTTTTTTCTCATATAAATAGCATTCGCATCGCCACACTCGTTCATTTTCTTCTTTCTTTCAGCGTCAAACTAAGAAATAATCATCATCGATGTCGACGTACAAGTTATATTATTTTAATGGACGTGGTCGTGCTGAAGTTTCTCGTTTAATTTTTGCTGCTGCTGGTCAAAAATATGAAGATGTTCGTTATGAACGTGATCAATGGCCATCACATAAAAGTGAAATGCCATTAGGTCAAGTACCTGTTCTCGAAGTTGATGGAACAAAATTACCACAATCATTATCAATTGCTCGATTTCTTGCTAAACAATTTCAATTAGCTGGTAAAGATAATTTGGAACAAGCTAAAGTTGATGCTGTAGTTGATACAATTAATGATTTACTGGCAAAGTATATACCGGTTCGATGGGAGCAAGATGAAACTAAAAAACAAGAACTTATTAAAAAATTTATTGCTGAAGAATTACCAAAACATTTACAAAATCTTGAAGTATTAGGTAAATTATATGGTAATGGTGGTCCATTTTTTGTTGGTAATCATTTAACATGGGTAGATTTATTCTTTTATGACATGGCAACTAATATACTTCAACTAGAAGCAAATGCTTTGGATAATTTTTCATGGTTAAAAAAAAATCGTGCTGAAGTTGAAAAACAACCAAAAATTGCAGAATATCTCAAAAATCGACCACAAACACAATTTTAACGAACAAAACTAAAAAATAAACATTTATAGACTACTGTTTTTTTTTTATTCTTCTTTAATTTTATTGTAAGATATCATTTGGATGAAGTTTCAATAAATTCTTTTCATTATTGTACGTCATTTTACTTCATGTAACAAAGAAAAAAGATATTACAAAAAATAAAATTCTCACTTAATACAAAACTTCATCTTTTATTGAAATTTTATAATTAAAGTAGAATACAGAATATGCATAGAATCTCTGATTAGCTTAGAAATAAGTATAATGAACATAAAAATATATATTAAATTAGGTTTGCTTTAATTATATTCAGTTTCCAGAAGAAGATTAATATTATGTTAAAAAATTTATTCAATAAATAGTTCATTATGATTTTCATAGAAAGGAATATGTACAATGGTTTATATTTATTTTTAATACAAATGATTTCTTAATTGTATCATTAATATTGTTGTTCTTTTGTTGAAGCAAAAGATAATATTGTCATCTCCTTAAAAAACTTTCCTTATATTCAAACAAATGTCCTTCCCTAGCTCTTCTCGTTCATTAACAATTACTTTTTTAAATTCTATTCCTACTAATCTTTCTCAATCATCAATTTTTGTTAATATTTTTTTTGTTCAACTACTGATGCTATTTCATCATCACATACAAAACAATACACATCCAAGCGGATCGAATTTCTTTTGAAACAACAATCATCGATATACGTTGTTATTAAAAAATGAAGCAACCAAACACATCTTTATGTTAGAAAGTTTTTATTTTTCCCACTAAAAATATTAGAAAATACTGCTGAATTCGAGAAAAATCATTTATGTGTTTATAATTGATTCAATGCAATTAGATGAATGATCCACGGATGTCCACTGGTGGACCATTTTTTAAGAAAAAAGCTATGGATCGGCTCGGCTCATTGAGACCTCTGATGTAGTCTTCATTGAATTATAAGATTTTGACAAATAAATAAAACTCAATCGAATGTTGTAGTATGAAAGAGAGATTTAGTATCAGTAATTTATCCTTTTACAGAAGTTAATGATTGTCTTCATCGACTTTATGAAATTCTCTATCGAATAATTCATGAATAAAAAATCAAATTTATCCAATTTCTTTATTGTCATTGCATTCATATTGAGAAATTTAACTTATAGTAGCAAATATTCATGCAATGTCACTTTAGTTAGTAAAAACAATCAACATAGGACTTCATCTCATTGAGATCCGTGTACATCTTAGAAGAAATGTTGTCAATTTTTGTTGTTTGAATTTCATATACATTTTTAATCACAAATAATAGCTTTTATAAAATAGTTATAGACAAATAAAATTCTTCGAAGTAATTCACTTTTCGATAGATGTTTTATTGAACATACAATGTATACAAAAATGATATACAAAGTTTTTGTTGTACTGTATAAAACAATATTTGAGTTTTGGTTGTTCAATATTTATTCGAACATTATCCATATTAATTTATTAAAATCTTTTCACATAAATGTACACTAAAATAGTCACTAAAACTTTTTTCTAGTTCTATCGAAATCTACTTTCACCGATAAAATAAAGTCATATTGCTAAACACAATTGAATCGTTCTCTTCAGAAGTCTATCTGATAAAATTATAGTTTTTTTGTATTGTTAATCGATAAAAACTAATCTATTATGTATTATTTTTACAATAAATCAATCCATTTTAAGAAAGGTATAAAAGAATGATCAAATGAGTTTATTTACTCATCATAACATACAACTGTTGACTTTTATAAATATATAAAAGTATTGAATCTTTACTAATCAAATGATTAATTGTATTTTGATGATAATAGATTGAATCGAATTAACACCTTTTTTTTTTAGGATAATCTATTTTTAATATTTATCGATATCGAAATTTAAATATGTCAACGATTGAAATTGATGATCGTTGATTTCGACTATTAACGAAATAGATACATTGAGTTTTTGACCATGGTTGGTAAAGGATTAGAAGGAGCCAAAAAATGACGACTTTCAACTTCTATTCGCTATTTTTCTTCGACAGATAGAAATTTATGTAACTTCCACAAAAAAAATCAGTATTGGTTTAATTACAAAATGTTTGTATCAGTGATTAGAACTTGAAAGTAATTCATATGTAAATCTAACAATTTTTATAAGTAAACAAATTCTAGTTGCTGTCAAGCAAGTCATTACTTAATCCTTTCAGGCTTATAGCTCGATCAATGAATGGATTTCCTTGAGATTTTATATTTAAGATGAATATTATGAGTTATTTGATATATCCGTCAAAACTTTTGAGAAATCTGCAAAACTATGTCAGTTAACGAAGAAAAAAATTTATTTACAAAAATATACAGCAAAAAATTAATTTCAAAATGTTTTTATAGTATTTATTAAAGTAATTTCTCTTAGAATTCATATAGAAAGCTCTATTGCAATGAGAACAGTGAAAAGAACTTCGATATTGATTTTTGTCTGTACTACAAAATTCACATCTTCCTTGAACACCCACAATTAGAAGATGTGACTCGTTTTCATTTGGTATATCAAATTATATTTTCCTTCCTAATATTTTATTTCTCTTTCTGTTTGAATTAATGACAGGTGATATACGTTTTTTGACTTATTCTCCATAAATCAGTGCTGTTGTTATTATTTAAGTAATAGGAAGAATCGAGAAAATAAAACAACAATAGGCGATTTAGATTTGACAATGACAATAAATAGTTTTTACTTGTACAATAATTATTCAACTATATGATTTCATGTAGAAGATTTGCGAGTAAAATTAAAATGTAGAGTTCTAAAAAAAAACTTGGTAGGTCAGAGATGATAAGTGTCAAAAACTAAGATAGATGTTGCACAAGTCCACATGATATATTGACACCTATCTGATATAGATTATGATCATTGGTTACTAAGCATACTCATGCTATTCTACTACAGTTATTTATTATATGATTGATATATAATTTAATCATTTAAAATTATATTCAGCATTTTACTGAAAAACTTGAAAATAGTATAAAATAAGATATGATGGTCTTCTAAATATTGATCATATTTATCACATGAATGGGTCTATTATAGCTATAGTTTTAATATAGGTGTGTACATCGAAGTCACCTCTATGTAATAGAGAAAACTGCTTCTCGATATCTTTTTGCATTCGCGATTTAATCAAAAATTATGAAACTTGAAAAAACCGTACTATATTTAGTACAGTAGGCCTGAAAAGGATTAAAGCATAGATAACTAAATATGTATTAACAATTAGATAACAAGAATCAATTCATAACCATCCGATCTTGAGATATTCTTGACAATTATTGTTATCTGTCCTTCGTTTAACAGTTAACTATTGTCAATGAAAACTCTCATGTAATTTAAAAGATTTTTTAATGATTCAAGCATAGATTGAAACATTAAGAACAAAAAAGAAACTTGTTTCTTTTTTTATTATGAAAAAATACTAAAAACAAAAAAAAAAGAAACTTGTTTCTTTTTTTTATTATGAAACAATATTCAATTATCAAGCTCAACTAATATTCGATATTGATCTAAAAATCGTTGTTTAATATAATTGTATAAATCATATTCGTATTTAAGAAATGGCATAAGAAGTTTCGTCGTATTTTTATTTGGAAGTTGAATATTCAAATCTCTTTCATCTATCAAATGTTTTGGATCCCGTTGATTCATAAATACAAGACGAATAAGTTTAAAATATTTTGGTAGAAGTTTTTCTAAATGAGAAAAAAAAAACAAAACAACATTAACTATTTCAGAATACATAAAGTCTTTGTCAGTGCGGCTCTATAAGAGACTAAAGTGTAGAACTCATAAACTCTGACTATTCATAAATATATGGTATATTATCAGATAAGTTAAAGTAATTTATTTTAAAATATGTAAAATATATAAAAATTTATTTAACATCGTTATACTGAAAAAACTTATTTGTATTGTCAGATATATCTTCAATACATAATTTCTTTTCACCTAATGATAATATATATATATTTGGGATACATGCAATAGAAAGCGGCAAATATAATTTTATTCTTTATGTCCTCGGTACAATCACCATTTTAGCCTGCTTTACATATTGATTTAATCGTTCAGTAAACTTCTGAACATATCATCCATTCTCTCAACGCACTCTGAAATAAACTGTTGAGTTTTGTCTAAACTTAAAATTCAATTAGCTTATACTTTTCAATGTCCGTCCTATTCTGACTTTGCTAGATCAATAAAAGTACTACCCTACTTATTAACATTTACAATAAGATCCTTTCACTGCATCGAAATACTCAACCTCACACTATTTGGACTAGTTCAAATCTACAGTAGAATTCTTCGATTCATTATAGAAAGTTCCAGAATGATCTAGAAGCATTGTTATTACTGATGTGCCTTCTCTCGTTGCTAGAAAAGCATGCCTAATAATTGTTGTCCTTTCTCATCCATCACATTACTATGGAATATATCCGATAGTCTTTGGTTTCCTCGTCTCGGTTTTCTAGGATTTAGAGAAAAGCTGCCGAATTCTCGATTTAAACTTCCACTCACTATATTTTCTTCAAAAATATACGTGATTTCCACGAAGAAGACTCTATCAGTAGAATTCCATTTCGTTTAAATTGAAATAAAAGAACATACCAAGAACATATAGAAATTTATAAAATTCTTCTGCAATACCAACAACTGTATAGAAAAAATCAATATTTTGTTTTGCTTGTTTTAATGCCCAATCATTTTCTTCTTGACATCGAATTGGATATTTTAATCCACAAAAAAATGGTAACATTCGTGAAACACCATTTTGTGATGAAATACATTCTTTTGGTGATCGTTTTATAACACATTCATCAAGTGTTTCGCTTATTGCATCTTCTTGTACAAAGCAACGATCTGTTGTTCGACAAATTTCACGTGAATGTTCATATTCTGCTGCTATGCGATATATTGGATCACGAATTAAATTAATCCATACAGGATGATTAGAAAATTGTAATGCATAATGATCAAAAAAATAAATATGTCGTTCGTATATTAATTGTTTAAATTTATGTTTATTTAATGATTGTGCTATTAATATTAATGATGATTTATCATAAGAATATGGAACATATATTTGACTTGATACATAAGTATATGAATGAAAATAAGATATATGTTGTAATAATAATCCCATAGTAGATTCATAACATTGTGGTAGTTGATTGTATATGATAACGTTTGGATTACCTTTAACATCGAGTATACGTGAATATTGATGACTAGCTGTAGATGGAAGGTTATTATTTAACTGTTGTGCAGGATGATAGTCTTCATTAAGATAATTAATGTCAACATCAAGATCATCAATATCAAGAAATGAATAACGTAAACGTGCTTCAGGTGATATTTTTTCATGTGATTCTCTTCTAAAAGAATAGCAAAAAAAAAAGAATTTTTTTGTCTCTAGTTTAATTTACTTTTTAATTCGATCAAGTAGATACTTACAATGCTGTGTTATCATTAATTTCATTATTTTCCTTCGTTTTTGAATTTGATGAAGTGTTTTTTACTGTAATAGATATAACAATGATGAAACAGATGGTCACTGCAATAATAGCAAGTAGCCAATAACGAAAATTTCGACTAATTGGCAAAATAATTCGATATATGTAGGATGTCAATAGCATGAGTGATCGTCGTAAACCCATAATGATAATGAAAGTTTTTTTTGTTTTTGAAAAAATTCAAAATAATAATAACGTATTAGATTGTTACAAGTGTCAAATAACACCGTATTTTCATCTGTTGAAAAACCAATTCATTATGAGTAGAGTAATTTTGTTTGTTTTATATACTGCTTGCACTTGGCGTGCGCTTTTTTTTTTATCTTGCAATAACAATCGTACTTTCGCCATTTATTCTTTGATCTTATTTACCTTCTCTCGTTGTCATGATTAAAATATGATTGTAATGCATGAATGAATGACCGAAAAATACATGTGGGTCTTGTTTTCACAATACAATAGAACGAAAAAAGAAAGTAAATCGAATAGAGGTGCATTGATAATTCAAATGATTGACAAATGATTATCACGTTGCGATTATTAAAAACCTTCATCATAACGTGCTATTTCAACCTGATAAGAGCAATAGAACAATTTTTCATATTAATATCTTAATTATTTCATGAAGTGAACTATTGGAATTACCAGATCGAAGATCGTACAAGATATTATTGACTATCGGATACTGTACAATCTTATGAAATCGTACAAATATTTTACTATAAGATGCTAGTGTAAATCTTGGAAAATCTGCAAATACTATTGAAAAGATTGAATACGTTCTAGTTCAATTGAAAACCTTGTTAGCGTTGCCTCTCTTTGAGATGGAAATATATTAGAACTCATACGTCTTATTTAGCTTCATTATATTAATACAAAATATGCAAAGTGTAAAATATCTAAACGACGATAGTTCTTTTCCAACAATAATCAATTGTTAGTAAACGCTAGTTAGTTTTTACATTTCGAATAGAAATTTTATTTTCTTGCTTTTTTAATTGATACGCTCTTTTTTTTTTATTTATCTCTTTGCTATTCGCTTGATATTACAAATAAGCTTGTTGTACACATTCTTTATATCTACAGCAGATCTTAATAATCTATTATTAATCCCATCATACTTTTGTGATAGTTATGGAAAAAAAACAAAATATCATTCTTGATATTTTGGATACAATCATTTATTTAAGCAAAAATTAGAAGTGAATTATTTAGAATATTGAAAAATATATTTCAATCATTTAAATTTTAAGGAAAATTCGGAAATATTCTAGAACTTTTTAAGCCTTATTATTAATGATCATTATAAAAAAATAAATGTAGAATAATAAATCTTCACTATTTGTGTATAACTATGATATAAACCGGTTTTAGGTTAATGGAAGGATAATAAATGCATAGCGAGGATTTATTATTCTACATATATTTTTTACAGTGATGTTTACCTTTGAAAAAATATCACATATGTTTGACTAATCAAATTTATTGTTATTTTAAGTGATATTTCACGAGATTCGTCTTTTACATTTGTAGAAAACGCGTGTTGTCCGGACGTTATTTTTCTTGAAATAGAGTCAAATATTTTCTTCGTTTAGTTTTAGATAAAATTGTTTTTTTTTTAATTTCGTTCATTAAATCTTGTAATATTTTCTTGATTTATTTTAATTCCAACGAATTATACTAATTTCTTTTATTGTAAATCAAAGTAAAATAAAATAAATTTGCAATAGTCATTTATTTAATTTTAATTACAATACAATAAATTATATCCAATATAATTTGATATAAATTTTTTTTCGAATTCACAATCTTACAATTACTTTTGCTTATTTTAATATTTGGTTTTATTTCGTATTTCTATGATTGACTATCTTTAGACAGTACTAAAGTTATCATCAATACGAATTGTGAATCGTATTGATTAAAATTATGTTGCACTTGCTACACTATTTGATATGATAATAACAGAATTCTTTTTTTGTATATTTCATTTTTACATAAAAATAAATGTTAAACAGAAAGTAAGATGAGCAAAAGTTAGCAACAGAGTCTTTTTCTTTAAAAACAAAGTTCAAATCTTAGGTAAAGAAATCGAATAGTAAGAATAGATTGTTGTACGTTCTTAGAAAATATTACTCTAATGCTGTACATGATCATACAAAAGTTCTCACATAAAATCGTGATCTCAGAAATCTTGCATCAAGACTAATAGTAAGCTATGTATACGATTCACGGATATGATCATACTGTGAAATATCATGATATTTTCTTATTCTCTTACAATAATTCATACAGTTTATAGTTCTGTTATGCACAAGTGATTGCAGCGTTCGGTTCAATTTCTTTTTACATCATGTCATAGCTTATAACATAATGAATATGAAAGAACGAAGAATACTCCTACCTTTCGATATGGAGAGTTGCCTAGTGACAGCTTCAATAGTTCAATATCTTCCCTACAAATAATTCTAGTTGTAGCTCTGGACACAAGGTCAGCCTGACGTAGAATTCTTGCTCTCAACTATTTGAGCTTCCCGTACACACAAACTGACCACATGCTAGTCACAACAGCAGGTTTATGTCACAATGTAGTCAGCATGCTATTGAACGGGTCATCCGAGACAAATAGCCTTTAATAACTTGTCTAGGATCATTCTATGGTTCACGGTACTGATGTTTGAACATAAAGAGTGAGAATCAGTAACAACACTAACATGTACTAGTTTTTCAATTTTTCTGATCATCTAACGGGTGAGACATAGTGAATGACCGTGTTTTGCATTTCTATTTTCAATCACTTAATACGTTGTATTAAAAAACAAAATATACAAGCACAAGATGAAGCATGATAAGCTCTACAATCTATACAGTAAAGCCTATTTTAATTGTGTGCTTTTTGTTTTTTAATACCATGTGTTAAGTGATTGAAAATAGAAATGCAAAACACGACCATTCACTATGTCTCACCTGTTAGATGATCAGAAAAATTGAAAAACTAGCACATGTTAGTGTTGTTACTGATTCTCACGCATAGTACAAGCTATAGATCTGAAACTTTGTAGTTATGTAGTACTAAACATGTTCAATAATCTGTCAAAGTTTCAAAGACTTTGCATGTTGTTGAACGCGAGAACGATGAATTTCAAATTCGTTGCAAAACTTCTGAGACACTCTTTTTGTTTTGTTTTATAACCAAGCCATGAAAAAAATTTATTATGATAAATAAAATAAAAATCGATTTTAATAGAACAAATAAAAAAAAATGATAATACAGATTAAAGTTAAATAATAACATAATTTGTTTTTATTTTCTCTTTCATACAAAATGATATAACAAGTCTAAAAAAAAGAAGATGTTCTTCATGTAAGAAAGTTCAAGAACGTTGTTCATAAGACATAGTTGATATAGATTTTATTCATTTTTTTTTTTTCTTTAAACACTTATAAATCGAAATATCTGTTGAGAATTTAGTCAATGACAAACGCACTTTTGTTTTATTTTCAATAACAAAAAAAAACAAATATTGCACTAGAAAAATCCTATCTGCATTGGATACCTTGTATATCAAGTCCTGCGATGATTAGTATTAAAAATTCGATAAGAAATTTATAAAACAAATATCTTATTAGATGTCCTTCATTACATATAAAAGTATTTAGACATATACTTTTTTTCTATAGATGTTTTTAATGCATACATATTCTATTAAACCATAGAAATCATAAATGCACGTATAATTGATATCTTTTATTTAGAATAGCAATAACAAAAAAGGATTGAATCACGTTTTAGTTCTATTTATCTAGTAATATTCATATGCCTCGAATCTTCTCGAATGTTCTTTTATTTAGTGCATACAATTAGACAACATATGATTAATTCTGTTTCTCTCAAGAGATAATGCCCATATTTATTTTTTCTCTACTTCTCTGATTATAAAGATAGAATGTATCTCTTTGTAAACATATGAATTACTTGATTTGAATCGATAAGAATAATCGAACATTTTAGTCATATTCAATAGCTAGACAAACATATTGCATGATCAATTCGAGGGCTAATCTATTTCTGTTATCAGTTTTATATGGGAGAGAACCCACAAAGACGAGAGGGAGAGAAAACAAATGACGTAGATTAATATATGCATGTATATATATATATATACAGTTGCGAACGAGACTCTGTATAGTTTTGCCGTTATCATTGACAAGCGAACATATACATTTTTCTTTATTAAAATAGAATCTTGAATATTCATGGCGATTATAATGCAAGTTATCAGCCTAATACTTCTCTTAGGCATGGCTCATTGTTGGACATATCCATCTTCCTATGATCAAAACTTACCATCGAACAATTTTCGTGGTTTAATTAATAATAATAATAATTCAACTTTCGTATCAATATTCGATGAAATGAATAAAATGATGCAAATGATGCGTCAACGTTTATTTAGTTTCCCATCATTTTCTACAAATCATATGGATGATTGGATGGAAGATAGAAAGAAATTAGATGCTGTTGAACCTGTTTGTACAACAACAACATCAGATCCATCATCAATACAAAATAATCGACGAAAAAAATTTCGTGCAACACAAACAACAACATGTATTAAAGAATTAATTATTGATGGAAAGAAACATTTACTTAAAGAAATGAATATAACTGATGATAAAGGTGTTTTAATTTCACAAAGCAAGATTTATCAAACAATGTCAATTAATACAATGAATAATACCATGCCGATTAATACAGATGGAGACAAAAATGTTATTTCATATTAAAAATCTATACAAAATATATAATCCCATATTTAGTTTGTTCGAATGAAGAAAAAAAAACTATGTAAGATATTTTCTTTTTTTTCAAAAAGAAAATGTATTTTTACAACAATTGTATTAATAAACACGCAAGAATTTGAATAGATAAAATTCTTTTAATTAAAGCTAGATATCTTAATTACATTTTTATTATTTTTCATTCATCGATTATAAATTAAATTAATCATTTTCTTTTTTCTTGTTAATAAATGCTATTGAAAGTGTGAAAAGTTCTTGCTATTTTACTCGTAGATTTTTATGATGATTTAGAAATGAAATTGTTAAATAAAGGGACAATCGAAAAGTTTTGATTGCCTCTCCCTAAATCGATATATGATTAATTGATTGAAATATGTAATTATGTAGAGAAAGATTCGAGCTATCATCCTGAAAAAAAGAACCGTACTTCAACATGCATTAATATCTTGTCAGACTTATCATTTTAATGGAATAATATTCATCATATATTTGCTGACTATAATTGCAGTTTTATCATATGTCCTATTGTTAAAGGCTTTCATAGCGATAGTCTTTTTTTTTATGAGATATACTGCTTCCAATTTATTCTCTAATATGACAGTTGCTTGACTTTATCTTTCCAACAGTTTTATTTAAAAAAAAAACCTCTCAGTGCGCATTTCAAAGCTAAATAGATTAGAAAATGCGTGAGATATCATTCGACAAGATTTTAAGTAAAGGTCAACGCAGTACAAAATTTGATTATTGATATTCATACAAAATATCACTCTGATAAACTTATAAACCATTTAGATATTTTATTGAAAAAAAAAAATTTTTCCCTCAGAAAATGTAAAGTATTTAATTAAGATTAGTAAAATGACCATAATATTGTACTAGAAGTATGATTTTTTTACGATGATAACTCTAATCTTCCTCTACAAAATTACATATTTCAATCAATTAACCATATATATATATTATCGATTTATCGAGAGGAGTTAACACTTTTCGATCATCTTTTAGAACTTAATAATGAATTGTTTGAGAAAAGAATATTTTCATCAAGAATTATTGATAGTCTTGTTTTTCATGGTATTTGTCCACTATATTGCAATACTTTTTTTTAGGCTTGCTCGATAAAAAAAAAACATTCACAGTCTTTTTACTTGATATTATTCTTTCTTTTTCTTCTGGTAACTTCTAGATCTTGCTTGATAGAAGATGTCAAATATTTGAAACATGTGTTTCTTTTCTCGTAGTTTCTACTTCTATCAATATGCGAATGACAGCAATATGTTTATAGGTTTGTATAAGAAACAACTGGTTATTATTTAATCTTTACCGATCTTATCTTATACATTGGTTTTAATAATTCAAAAAAGAACTATGAACTATACTAGATATTTGAATATGAAATTCGAATTTTCGTATGTTTGTTAGATTTCTAATTTTCAAAATTATAGGAATTATGTTAATATGAAACTGTTTGTCATTAATATGAGTAACCAAGAAATCGTAGGTGGTAGAATATTGCCCAACGATCGTGAGAGAAAGTCCATGAAATATATTGTTAATGATGGTAATTATTACTTTTTTCTTTCTTCTAATGGTAGGACGGCGTCACACCTAGTCTACCCTTGGTTACACCACTATTTATCATTCTAACAAATCATAAAACATTTAATAACATGATTTATATTGGAAATAGTCATAAAATATTTCTTTATATTATATAAGTATCTTTTTTTTCCTTGCGTTTTTCACATGATATTCATCATGATTTGAAATGTCATTTCCGATGCGTGCCATAATCAACAAAACTTTTATTTCGAAGTTATATTTTCTACTCGAAATTATCTCTTTAATTGAATTTTTCTATGTTTTATTATATATTGATTGATCAAATTACATTAATTTTACATAAATATAATCAATAGTCAAAAATATTACACAGCACTAATAATGAATCATAATTATTCAGTTTCATAATTCAAATCCAATAATTTAGATATGAATTTGATGCATCACAAACACAAATAATAATAACATTCAATATTTTTGAAATACTTGAAAATTAAATATATATATATATATATATTTTCCATCTTCCTTAAACATGTGCACAACAAGCTGAGAAAAAAACAATAAAAAAAAAGAAAATAAACAGTAAGATCACATAAAATACTAATTGGTTGGAAAAAAAAGTAGCAAAAAAAAGAAAAACAGGAAATAACAAGTCTTTAATTTGATTTTACATTTCGTCATGTAATGCTTTTTCTGTATCTAGAATACGCATATCAGTAAATACATCAGCATGTTTTTGTATTTCATTTAATGTTAAAATATTATCTGATGGAGAATCATCAACTCTTTCAAATAATTTTTTTATTTGATTATTTATATGAACACGATTCATTGGATCATATGCTTTCTAAAAAAAAATAAATCAATTTTTTTTGTCAAAATAAATAAATAAATTTACTAATAATTCATCTTTTGTTAAAATTCCATCATTATTTTCATCCATTTCATGAAATTCTCTTTTTTGTTCTTCTAACCATCGTTTATCCATTTCCACCCATTCTTTATTTCCACCATCTTCTAATACACTTGCTAATTAGACAAACAAAAAAAAAAATTATTCATACATTAAAAGAAAAATAATAATTATTATTTACAAGGTAAAAATGCAAATTCAGTTTCATTTAATTGTTGATCATCATTACGATCTTTAACAAAAAAAACCAAAAAATAAAAACATAAAAAGATTTTTAAATAAAATTGACAAACCCATTTGTAAAATAAGATCATCAACAACATGTTTATATGAATGACCAGCTATTTCTGGATGACGAAAAGCAAGAAATTCATCAATATCAAGTTCATTATCACCACCAACATCAGCTTCTGTCCAACGAAATCGAATTTTCACTAATTCTCGTTGAACTAATAAAATACAAAAACAAAACAAATAGATTCATTGAAAATTTTTTAATTTAATTTAAATATTTACAATTATTATCAAATGGTCCTTGAACAAAATCAAAAGTATCCGATTCTTTGACACTCGTTGAATTTATATCGTGAAATTTAACATATAAAGCAAAATATTCATGCCATGTCACTTTACCTAATAAAAACAAATTAATCAATATTAGAATTATGTATATATTCAAGAGAAATTTTTATGTCAACATGCGAAACTCTTATGACTATACAAAAGAATTAAGATGAATACTTGACGGTACAAAATTTTCTATCATATTGATATACGGTCTGCCATCATATTTATATGGTGTTTCACAAATAGAATTAATACAGAAATATAAATCAGATATTTCATCGTCGAGCAAAAATCAAATATGTCATTTACTAAGAGATGCTTATCAAACAGAAATTTTTAATAGTACAGAATCATCTTGTTAGTCAACTACTCCTTCTACAGAATAGAAGCCTAGTGAGATTCTAATTTGTTTTGCAAGTCAAAAGTTTGAAGGTGATTTTCTATTGCACTCAACCTTTTTTTTGTGTTATGGTTATATTTTTTTTATCATCTTACAAGTATTATAATATTCAATAATTGATAAATCGAAATTTTCAAATTGTGTGACCAGTTTCAGAATACGTATAATAGTTTCTGTGCAATTACAGATTGACTGTTAATTCTGTCCCGATTCCATATTATTAAGTAGACAATATAATGAGTTCTTTACACGATTTTTTACATCCGCATGCTCATCTATTTTCAGTACTCAGCGACTACAATATTTTTGCTAATAAATAGTGAAGTTTTGGAGAGATTAGAAAGAATCCCTAATTAGACATCTACTGATATGATTTTGTCCTAACAAAATCATTATAGAAGTTTGTACATAATTCGGAAGTAAAACAAGATATACAGGGTATTACATAACCTTTGCCTTCTCTCTCTACAACTTAAAGTATCAATGATATCACAAATGTATTTTATACCAAATAAAGGCGCGTCAAAAATTCGATTTATTGGTACTAAACGGTAAAGGTTATGAAGACCTTTTAATGTCGAATTTAAGAGATTTTCAGAAATTTAATACTTTTTTGGTGTAGAAAAGTAAAATGATAGTAGTTCAAAAATGAAATAAAATATTCTCCTTGGATATTTTTACACGGTGTGAGTAGAGCTCGTCGAGCTGTACAAAATTGCATATTTCAAAAATATTTTGAGTCATCTTTTTGAGATAAAAAATTCAAAAAACTACTTGGAACATCTCAAAGTATGTTTGAAAACTTCATTTTTTTTATATGACAGAAAAACACTCGATTTCCTTTTGTTTATTATTTTTACTGTCTCAGACGTTTCGAAATGTACTCATTCGGTGCCGCGTGAAAAACTGAATCCAACGAGCACATTTCGAAACGTCTGAGACAGCAAAAGTAATAAACAAAAGAAAATCGAGTGTTTTTCTGTCATATGAAAAAAAATGAAGTTTTCGAACATACTTTGAGATTTTCCAAGTAGTTTTTTGAATTTTTTATCTCAAAAAGATAACTCAAAATATTTTTGAAATATGCAATTTTGTACAGCTCGACGAGCTCTATTCACACCGTGTAAAAATATCCAAGGAGAATATTTTATTTCATTTTTGAACTACTATCATCTTACTTTTCTACATCAAAAAAGTATCAAATTTCTGAAAATCTCTTAAATACGACATTAAAAGGCCTTCATAACTTTTACCATTTAGTACCAATAAATTCAATTTTTGACGCGCTTTAATTTGGTATAAAATACATTTGTGATATCATTGATACTTTAAGTTGTAGAGGGAGAAGGCAAAAGTTATGTAACAACCTATATTTTAATTATCTTGACAGAAATATAAAGCAAGCATCTGATTACAAAATAAGAGTCTCTTATTTCTAAGAGATGAATAATTCAAATCTTATGAATGTTATAGTAATTGATATTATATCATCTCAAACTAATTTTTTGTTTATCGAGTTCAATAAAAATTCACGTAATTTGAACCGACTACTATTCACCTTGGTAAGATGTTTCATTTTTCATCCAATATATTTGCCTATATTTCTGTCAATTTAATAAAAGTTAAATGTCCTTTCATTTTTTAGCTATGCATAAAACTCATAATAGAAAGAAATCTAACAAAATGATATAATTGCATGTCTAATTTCTCTTTCATAATTCTTAGACATGTATATGTAAGTAGTAAATATTCATACGTATTATTCATGCTGCGAAAGAAATTGATTTCTCTTTTGCTACAAAAGAAATAATGTACATAAACAAAGTTATAATTTCTATGATGAATTTCATCAACATGCTACAGAACATAAATATTCATTGAAGAATATTTAACTGTTGTTTATAAAATGGATAAAAACTTGCACTTATTTTAATTTAATAAAAAAAAAACAGTAGATGAATGAATATTAACTTTAATAATATTAATTACTCTAGTTCGATCATCTTTTTTTTTCGTTAAAAAATATAATTGAAAAATTTATATAAAATTTTTTTTTTTAATATCCTACCATCTTGATTTGAATCAATTAATAAAAATAATTGTGTATTTCTATCTTTAGCTTCTTGTATATGTTGATTAACATTCTTTAAAACATAATTAAGTAATTCATCTTTTGTTAATTGTTGATTATGATCACCATCAGCTCTAAATAAATTAATAAAATATAAAACAAAATTTATATACAAATAAATTCTTTCATACTCATTAAATATTTCTTCTAATTTTTTATTTCGTTTTCCTTCATCATTTTGAATATCTGATTCAAATAATTCATGATTACCCAAAAATATTTCTTTATGAAAATCTGGATTTATTTTTCCATCACGTTCTAATGGTAAACCTTCTAAATGTTTCTCATCTTTTAAACTATGAATACCAATATTTTTTATATCTTTTGCTATTTGTGATAAATTAAATTTTTTCGGTGGTTTAAATTTTGGTATGATTTGTGAAATACGTAAAGCAGCTGGTAATTTGTCCATTTGATATTCAGAAAGCATAGCACGTTGTGCAGCATTCAAAGTACTATTTTCAATATCAGATATCTGTAGAATAAAAGAATTATTTTTTTTTTTTTATAAAATTTTATTTGAATAAATAATAATTACTTGTTCTATAATTGGTAGACCATTGATACAGAAGTTATAAATAAGAGATAGATGTAAAAAGTTTAACAATATACGAATCATTTTATCTACAAAAACAAAAAAATCTTTTATTAAAATCAATAAATGCATTTGTTTGTTAAAGAAAAATAATATCTTATCATTAAATAATAAATTTTACTCTTTTTTTTTTTATGGACGAATTAATTCATCATCACTATCTAATGGAATGTCTAAAAATGGACTTTGAATTGTATCAATCGATGCTTTTTCTGATAACTGTGGTGAACGACTGATATAAAATATTTGTATACTTAAAACAAAAACCAATAAAATTATATTAAAAAGATTTTTCTTTTACAATCATCTTACAGAATAAGTATTAATCCAATTAATCTTGTAGCAACACCAAAAATAAAAACAAGACCAACAAAAACATTAATCGATGCACGATAAATTTGAGTACAAGCAACTGTACCCAATATAACATCAAGATTTTGAATTAAAGCAATAAAACTAAATGCTTTGCCTAGAAATATTTTATTTTATATATATTAACTATAATAGATTTTCATATACCTTTATCTCTTTCTGGTACTAAATGAGCAATAACTGCTCTTAAACATACTGGAAAATAAGTACCAAACATCATCGATGGAATAGCTATAGAGAAAAATAAATCTTTTAATATAAGCATTATTTGTCTTGGTGACTTTTTTGTTTTTCTACCTCCAAAAATCATAGCTTTATTATTAGAAGCAAATGCAAAAAGCATCAGTCCAACCAATGAAAGACATAAACCAATAATACCTAGATAAATCTCATTTATTAACCATCGTCTTCTTAATAAAGCCAAAAAAATTAATGCTAAACATGTTCCTATTTGTTCACAAGTAAAATAAGCTGCATATTGTGTATCATTGAATGACATTCGATGTAAATATAAATAATAAACTGATGATGAACCCATACGAAAAAGTTCATAGAAAAAAAATGATAAAAGAAGAATACAAAAAGATAATAATAAATTATTATATTTTAAATCAATAATTAAATCTCGAATATTTAAAAATGGACGTTTAATTTTTGTCCAAAGATTAATTGATGATGAATCTGTTATTGATTGACTTTTTAAAAAAATAAAACCTATAAATAGAGCAATAATTAATAAAATAACATGAACAAGTAATATATGCCATATTTTAGCATGTAATTCAAAAATAAATGTACAAAGAACATAACCCATAATAATTCCTAAATTTAATGATGCTTCAATAATTGCAATTGCTTGAACATGTTGTTCTTTTTCAGTACATATATTAGTAACATAACCAAAACATGAACTAAATAAATAACATTATTTTTATTTATTTATTTATTTTAAATTAACTTACGAAAGAAGAAGTAATGTTCCTCCACCAAATCCATTGATAATATTAGCAAAAATATATATTAATAAAGATGTTTTAGTACCTCGAAAAATACTTCCAATAGTAATTATTAAACCTGTTATTATTGCATTTAATATTGTTAACATAATTGGTAATTTTCGATTTTTTGTATCTGATAAACTTCCATAAATAGGTGAAATAAAACAGGCAATTATTGCAAAAGATAATGTACCATAAAGAGACCATTGTGAACTTTCTTTTTGAATTGATGTTTGTGATGCACGTAATGATTTATTACGATCAATTTCAGAACAAAATGATTCATTAGCATAACGAAGACAAACTGTTGAATATATTAAAGAATTTGTTGAACAAATAAATATATAGAATGAACACATATAAAGACAACAAATAGAACAAATTGGTAAAATTACACGAAACCAACGCCAGGATAATGATTCTATCATTATTTTAATAATATAAATAAATATGAAATCAAGCTTATTATTTTCACTTTCTTAAATGTAGACATTTTGACTGACAAAGTAAGCAATACATTGTATTTGATCCAAAGACTTACGAATGAGAAGGAATTCCTGATAGAGGGCAGGCAGTTGACAAATTGTTCTTTCAGTTCTAATCACAGTGAACTATTATGTAAAACAACGAGTTTATTCAAAAATGATACTGAAGATCGCAAAGTATCAGCATTCAAAAGTTTATTAGACATGATAGATGCAGCACATAAGCATTTCACATTCGATGGACTTAAATTTGAAATAAACATAGTTTTTGTTACTTAATTATTTTACATAACCTACTACATTACTAACTAGAGACTGTCATAGGATACTTTTTTTGACTCTGTCCTGGACTCATTCGTACAAAATTTTTCATCCTGTCCTACTGTCAGAGCATATAAATTAAGGTCGACTATGAAATGGATTGGTAACATAACGAAAAAATTTAATCGTATTTATATTCAATGCTCACGCCTTTTCCATATCATTTTCTAAGAATATTAAATTCTTTTTAGTCGAATATCTTGGTGTTTTTACCATGGATACATGACACTAGCAGTATAGTCATATAAAAACGAGATATCCCGTCATTGGAAACAGAAATTCTTTATTACTGAGTATCATCATTTAATTGAGTTGAAGTCTTTCAACAATATTTAATAGCAGGTCAAGGTTCATTGATTGATTATCTGCTAGACGCACTTATAATGTAATAAGAGGTGTTAAATCTTCTCGTAATTGAAAGTGTTCGTATTGAACGATGATGAATTAGAATGAGTATCACATACATCAGTTCTATTGAAATCATCACTACCTGGTGGAATTACATAGATGACACACATTCTAAAAGATTCATATCTTTGCATTTAGTAAACAATTTCAAATGGTTTCTTTATGAAAAAAAACGTTACCAGGACAAACTATTTTGTTTTGCCCTACTCTGATGATAGTCTCTATCAGCGATTGAACAGATACCGGTCGTCAAAAATTCAGACCGATTTCATCTCTGATCTCTATTTCTGATATCTTTATTCATACAGGCCATATGACATTCAGAACTCAAAGGCCATTTGATGATTTTTCAATTTTTTGTTCATTGATATATTATATGAAGTTGTCCGTTACTATAAAAAAGACTCGATTGTATCCATATCGAGTCAAGAACTTCTACAGACAAGTAATAATTTAAGTTGAGATTTATTAGAAAATCTACAGATTGATATTTCTTGATAAATCTATCATAGAAATGATGCAATTTTACAGAACTATTATTTGTCAGAATAATTAATGATACGAAAGTCTGAAATAAAAAGCTAGATCAACTTAAATTAATATTCTACAGTTTTATGTTGATTGTAACATTCAGGAGAGAGAAAGAATAATTATGATTTTGTTTACAAATTAATCATATTATCTAAATTTTAGATGCAATGAATCGAATTACATAAGAATGACATTACAATGGATATATTTATTTGTTCTGATTGTTTTAAACTACCCATTTTTGTTAGTGGTTTTGTATCATTAAGTTCCTTTTTTTTCTGCGTGGAAACAGATGAATTTTAAATTACATTTTTTTTTACAGAATACAAGCGCGTTTGACTTCTAATTGGTTCCGAAAAAGCCATTTTATTATGATTAATTTTTTTCTTGTTGCAACTAGAATTTTATTAATTAACAAGCACAGAAGTGCCCAAAAAATTATAAATCGGACTTTTCATGTTGTCTGACTACTTTCGGAGTAGCTATCATCGTTTACTTCGTAACAAGGATTAATTACCAATTCTTTTTCGGTTTCATACTATGCAATCGACAAAATGTGCGATTTGACACGGTGTTTCACTCTTTCAATCGGTAAGAAAATCTATAGATAATATAAAACTACCATTTAAGCGGTCAGTAAAATAGATGAAATGATCAGTTTATTAAATATAAGTATCAGCAGAAAAATAACCTTTATCGGTAGAAAATAAATTGAAATAAATCAAGAAATCACAGAATAAATGAGTAGAAATTTAAAGAATAATTAAAGAAAAATGGAAATTACATCATTGTATTAGTAAAACAGTGTTAGTCTTTGCTGTTGCTGATGGTTTACAGTACTTCAAATGAATAGCCGTATCCACAATGTGTTTGCATATATAATTCCTAAAAAAAAAGCTGGACAGTTACATTTCGATATTTTCTAGTATAAATCATTTTGCATTTCCATACGCCAAATATCAAATGATTTTTTTGAATTGACCAAAAGTTGTTCATTTCTTGTTATATTTAGTTAAGTCAGCTTGTGGAGTTGATTTTAGGTCACGAGCTGGTATATAATATTTTTTCGATTCCCTTTTTTTAAGGGTTCTTTTATTTCATGATCTTCTTCCACTACTTCCTCATCTGATATATCGTTTTCATATTGAGAAACTTGTATCACTTCCATAGTTACAAATAAATCAAATTTTGGTAAACTCGAAATATGTTATTTTTATTTGAAAAAATACTAAATATTTATACATGGGAATTGATGCAGACGATGACCAGAAAAGAAGTTGAGAAGTTTCTTTCCTTTTGTTTTAGATAATGAACAATAAGAATAATTATAGATGAAATTGATGGCTGCATGCAGGATTGATATAGAAGAGAGACAAGCTTTTCTATTCTTTTGCGTTTTTCTCAACATTGTTTTTTTTCTTGTAGTGATCGAACTGCGTACAAATTTTTTCTCAATATACTTCATTCTAGAGAGTTGTGTTTTTTTCTTATCGATAGATACATGCATAGTCTTTCAGATGAGGAAAACGAATTTACTACTTAACCGTCAATACTAGATGATCCATCAGTCTAGCATTTTCAGACTTTCGAAATTTCGATGATTAGAAAAATGGAACAGAGTAAAACTTAAAAAAACCCTTCCCATAATCCTAAGTGGTGAGATGTTTTCTTTCAAATGAAAGCAACCCAAGCTCTGCAACTTGGTCGGTGAAAATCTTCTGAACAGTAAGGTATGAAAGAGTGAAATTTTTTTCTTCATGTACTTCCATCAGCTGAACAACTATGCAAAGTTTCATCAATATCTCGTGTACTCTGTCGAAGTTAGATTTTTTAGGAGGAGTCTTTTAAAGACCATATATGCTTCTTAATAGAAGATCTTTAAAAAGCTTTTCTTGCAAAAGAAATATTTCTGATAATATATCTAATCTGAAATTTCAGAAAACGAAAAGAACATATTTGTGTTTCATTGGTTTAATTTAAGAGATTTACAATGTGTTAATAAGTATCATTGTTCGAAAATCAGTTATTGACAAATAAATGCAAAAAAAAACCATTTAATATTCCTCCGAGAAAATCAATTATTTACTTTTGCCAACAAGATGAACTTCAATTTTTGAACCTTACAGACAACAAAACATATTGAGATGATAATAGAATTGATAATAATATATTCAGTAATCTAACAACAATATCATTTGAAAGAACTTTGATATGAATACATTTATATTTTTGCTATGTATTTATCTACAACAGTATTTATTTTACTATGTTATGTAAATAAGGTAGACCCTAGAATATTGAATAATGCGATGTGATTTTTATCAAATTTGGTATATGTGACGTGCTTGTTTGGATTGCTTTGCTGCTTAATGAAGTAGAACTAATGAAAACTAACAATGTCCACGACGTCATTATAGTCAAGGTCGTAAAGAGAGGTAGAAAACGAAATGAAAAATGATCACTATAAAAATATCATATATATACATTGTAATCTATTGTACAATCGCTTTGTAAATCTAACACACAATACATTTTGACATAAACATAACTTTTATTGGATAAGTTTTTAATAGAATATTCACTAATTTTATAAAAGTGATGTACATGTCAAAATACATTTTTGTCAGAAATTCTCCAGACCGTGAATGATATGCCTAATATTTCTGTGCAATTATTTATTTTTCTTAATTGATTCAGTTATAAAATGACCTGTAAAAACGCATAAATTGTTCGTTTGAGAAATAATAAAATAATTCATTAACATTAGTTAGTAGATCGATAATAGGCAAGAAAAAAAAAATTCATACATTCACATACAAAAGAGCAGAAAACACCAACTGAAGATAGGAGAAAAGACCATATACGATATATTCATATATACTGAATAAATCATGAATAAATTAAATGAAATAATTTTACACTTTTTTTTTTCTCTTTATAGTAAACAAATCATAGTGTTTACACAAAAACAAATGGCTTCATCGTTAACTGGTTTTAATCAATTATGCACCATAATTAGTTCCATTTTAATGTTGATTATAGCATTAACATGGCTATATATTACTAAATCGCCAAAAGAATGCAATTTAACTAGTGTTTCAAATCGTAATTTTAATTATTATTATGGTCTTGTAAATGTTGATAATCCATTATCATATTACAGTGCAGAACAACCTGATAGTATTAATAGTAAATGTCGTTTATTTTATGATTCTATGCATTTATTTCCATCTGGTGATCGTTCATTATCAAAATCAATGATTGTTCAAGCTCTTCGAGGTTCTGGAAAAACTCATATGAGACAATGTATTATTGCTAGACTTCCTCCGAAGAATCAAATTTTAATTAAAATATATGGAGTAGATATTAATAATTATTTAGAAAATTTTGTTCAAGCTATTGATTTTACTTCTGAACCATCCTATGAAAAAATTCGTAAATATTGGACTAAAGAACATTTTTTACAAGTCATTCTAACTGAAATAGTTACACGTTTTGTCAATGAAAAATATTTAGAAATTTTAAAACAACGACAAAATTTTATAACATTACAAACTCGTAAAGAAATAGCAGTTCTATTAAGTTTTTACTATACAAAAGATCCTGGTACTTTATGTAAAATGATTAATTTATTACTTCATGAAATAACAGAATGTTCAATATTAGACTGTAGTATGCCATGCGAGAATCCTAAGTTTAATAATGGTGATCAAGAAATGTTTATTGAATTAACACAACGACACAATAAAATTAAAGTGAAACGTTATACTACAGCTGTTGATAGTTCTTTAAAAGTATTATTAGCAATGTATACAAAAACAAAATATTCACCATTATCCACTTTAGATCGTTCTTATCGTGATCAACTTGCTTCATTAATTAATTTTTTAAGTACATTGCATATTGCTACAACAGTTATTGTAGATTCATTAGATGAAAGTATTTTCTTTTTTAATCAAGTTGATACAAATTTACGTACATTACAAACATTTATTGATTCTATAACTAATGATGATATTTTACATTTAGCATTGGGTAATTGGGGAGAAGGTAATGAAATGAAGAATAGTTTTGCATTTTATATATTTATTCCTAAAAAACCAAATGTTTTAATGAATATTTCATGGAATCGTCAAGATAAAATACCAATTATTGATTTAAAATGGGATGAATTACGATTAATTAATTATGTTGATTATATATTTGATTATTTACGGAGTAAAACACATCATCAATGTAAATCTTTACCTGATATATGTTCTTTATTAGGTGGAAGAAAATTATGTATTCATACTATCAAACAATTACGACATCCTCGTGATTTTCATATATTTTTTGGTGCTTTAATTCAACATATGAATATTGTTTGCAGACAACGGGATTCACCATTCATTGCTATTGAGGAAGATTTGAAAATCGCATTAGCAGAAACAAAATTAAGAATTTTGGAAGAATAAACTGATTTATTTATTTATTTTCTAGAGAAACATTAATTTTATAATAAGCTGTTCAACTTTGTTAGTGTAGAATATTCATTATTTTCTTATTAGTGTTTGAAATAAACATATATTTAAGCATGAAGTGATTCTTAATTGATAAAAACATAGAAATTTAAGATGTTATTTATTCAAACTTTTGATAGGTCTCTATTGTTTTATGTGATTTCCAATCTATTGAAGGACTATTAAAAGGAAGGTATTTATGTCAGGAAGATCATCTTGGTGAAAACTAATTATCGAAGGGTATCATCTCCCATCCTTCGTGTGGACTGCTTCTCATTCTCTATGAGAGAGTACAGTTGGTCGTACTCAAGTTTTTACCATAGCTAAATTATCGAAAATGATGGAACTCATGTTCAAGGAAAAAACTTTAAGGAAATTCTAAAAACTATCAGACCTGTTTAAGATAAAATGGTTATAATATGTTTTGATATTTCTTAGAAAGATGTTACAAACAATTGAGATTTATCTGATTCTATTGTTGAAGATATGTTAAACAATAATTGATTAATTAAATATCGAATTATAGAAGATATTTCACTTTAATTGATCTCTTTGTGATTATTCAAAATAATACATATTGAATATTCACTAAATTTTTATATTCTTTATCAATTACTTCTTGTACGAAATGCTAGTTCAATTCCCTATTTGAGAATCAAACATTTGTAAAATTGTTTTTTTTTTATTGCCGTGAATATATGACTCATTGTCGGAAAGATCCAACAGAAATTAGTCATAGTACACATGTTCTTTTCTTTTTCTTTTCTTTATTTGTAAGAAGGAGTTTTTAAACGAAACACACGTAATAGTTTTTTTCCTTTCTTTCATAAAGTGTTTCGAAGAACAGTCACATAAGGAATGATGTTGACTTCCAATGGTGTTTTATCTTCAAAACATCAACACATTTCATACGCGTCATTTCATTTGCTGCTGAGTCAAAAAACAAATGGCAACAAAAGCGACAAGGTAACTTCGTGATAATTTGAAATAACATGTCTATTGTTAACTGAATAATTTTCAATTAGTACAGATTTTAAATCAGGAGAAAAACTTAGATACTATTTTATTTATTATATCAAAATATTTTATTTGTAAAATTTTAGTAATATCTATGTCTATTTAAGAAATGGAAAAATAATATGTGGACTGTGCAATGCATTTATCGATGAAATTCAATATCGATCTCATGTCGCAGAATGTGGTATGCTAGATAAAGATTATGAAGTTCAACCGGCATTGAAAGTTTGTGCTTTGTGTGGAAAAGAAGTCAAAGATTTGACTCAGCACTATGGAATATGTACGGGTGGAAATAATCCGACCAACAACAAATATGAAAATCGACAGCAGCCAACAATTACACCAGTAAGATCAGATATCAAATTCACTTTCTATTCTCTCTAACATTGGACTCGCAAAACATTGCTTTGTACATAATTGCTTACATAGAGTATAGAATATTTTATGACACTTGATTGAAAAAGGTCATTGAAGCATTTTTTTTCTTAGACTCCGTATACTATTGATTTATATGAATTCGTTAAAAATATCTAGTAGGCAACAGTTGATTACAATTAAATATCTTTTTTCTAGATGTTTTTACCAAGTTCATAAAAGTGAAAGTAACTACCGTTTGAGAAGATCTTTTTGATGAGTCTACAAAGATCGCATTAATTGTCGTCTAACAAAATGTTTTTGATGAGTTCATATAAAAATTATAAATTTATTTTGCGAATGTTTTGCTTTTTTTCTTATCTCATTTCATTTATGAATGTGCGACGTACATAAATCATACACTGTTCAAAAGAAAAGAAAATTTCCTATCAACTGATTAAAAAAAAATATTCGTTTCAAAACGCATTTGTTGAACGAAGAATGCGGATTCTTTTTAATGGTGCTTCTCTTTTCTGTTGCGTCATTTCATTCATAAACGTGTGACAAAAATAAATTGTATATGATTTGAAAGAGGAGAGAAAAGCTCGATTTTTTAGTAAAACACTTTTCTTTTACTATCCGTTCTATTGAAGAGAAATAGGATCCGACATTTGTCTTATTACGTTAATTATTTTAAGCACTTATAAATCATTGAAGAAGTTTCTTAACATCTATTAAGATTCGTCAACAAACAACACCTTACGTTTCAAATCAAACAAATACTAAAGAATGTGTTATATGTTTCGAAATGATCGCTGAGAATGTTTACGCAGATCACTTAGATCGATGTGGTACAAGATCACCAAAGAGATTTACAAATTCGAAGAAAACTAAAGAATGCATTATATGTTCCGAAATGATCGCTGAGGATGTTTACGCAGATCACGTAGACCGATGTGGTACAAGGTCACCAGCGAGATCTACAAATTCGAAAAGAACTAAAGAATGTGTTATATGCTCCGAAATGATCGCTGAGGATGTTTATGCAGATCATGTAGACCGATGTGGTACAAGGTCACCAGTGAGATCTACAAATTCGAAAAGAACTAAAGAATGTATTATATGTTTCGAAACGATCGCTGAAAATGTTTACGCAGATCATGTAGACCGATGTGGTACAAAGTCACCAGCGAGATCTACAAACTCGAAGAAAACTAAAGAATGCATTGTATGCTCCAAAATGATTGCCGAGAATGTCTACGCAGATCATGTAGACAGATGTGGTACAAAGTCACCAGTGAGATCTACAAATTCGAAGAAAACTAAAGAATGCATTATATGCTCCAAGATAGTTACTGAGGATGGCTATACAGATCATTTCAATAGATGCATGACAAAATCGTCAATAGAAGAAAAAAAGAGAAAGAATACTAAGGAATGTATCATCTGCTCTAAAGAAATTATCGAATCAGACTATATTACTCATGTAGATGCATGCATCTCTGGATCGTCTTCAAGTTCAAAATCGAAACCAACAATTAGATCAAAACAAATCTCATGTTTTACATGGTAAGTAAATCGTTTATCTCAAATTTTTGTTAACTTTTATTATCATAGCTCATCCGCAGTAGATCTTTCGAAAGGTTCAAGTCATACTCTTCCATGTCGATTACATCATATGTATTGTCTTAAATGTCTTCAACACTCGATGAATGAATATATTCAATCCAATACTGTTCCTGTTTGTCATTCGACTCTCTGTGATTATGAACTTTCTCGATATGATGTGGCATGCTTACCACTCGAAGCAGATACAATTAAGCGTTTACTAACTTGTGTCAAAAGTACTCAGCGTGCTCAATGTCCTTTATGTGTCTTCTATGTTGATTTTAATACCATGAACGATTTTCAAAAACATGTAGCTTCATGTAATTCAGAGAATATGATTCCTTGCGAATATTGTCATTGTCTATATAATATTCATCGATTGGATGATCATTCACGACAATGTCGGAATCTTCCTTCCTCTCAACAACAACAAGCATTAATCGATTTTATCTTACCTCGAACTAAATATCCACTAACAGCACAACAGATTCGTGTCTTTATCGAAAATAGAAAGAAGACTCATTTGTCACTCGATCCACATTCAATCGTTGAAACACTAGCTGAGTTTGGTAAATTTTAATCTAGTTTTATTTTTATTTCATGATTGGCTTAATGTTTTTCTAATAGGTGATACCTTTCCGTTTGAAATTCCGACTCGTGATTGTGACGTATGTATGGAAACATGTGTTTACGATGATATTTTTGTTTTTGGTTGCGAAGAAAGTCATAAATTATGCTATGGATGCTTTGAAAATTCATGTACAACAAAGATGACCAATAATGAAATACTTACATGTGGACTGTGTGCTTATGAATTGCATGAAGGTGAAATCAAACAATTGCGAGTAGCAGATAATCGAAAGAAACAATTTCTGGATTATCAAATTCAGAAGACATTCAATACTTATGTTGGTGGCACTCAAGGAGTAATTAGATGTCCAAATCAAACATGCAAATGGGTAGCTGAGGCAAGGGATCCTAATGATCGTTTTCGAGTGCAATGTCCTATGTGTGGTAATGAGTTTTGCTCACTTTGTAATCAGCAATATCATTTTCGAACAACATGTCAACAACTTCCAGAAATTACACAACGTTGGTTTTTTTGGTGTAATACAGGTAGATTTATTATCATTTAATATTAATTTTGTTGTTGTCTTATTTGGTTTTTTTTTTCCTTCAAAGAACGCGGTAACTATTGGCAAGCTCGAGCACAACAAGATGCGAACTTTAGGGCACAGTTAGAAGATTATGAACGACAAAAAGCTGCTAATATCCAACGAAATCAAGAACTAGCTCAACGTTACAATGACCTATTGGCTGATGAAAATTATAAAGCTCAAAATTGTCGTCTCTGTCCACATTGTCGACGAGTTGTACAGCATCTAAGTGGGTGCGATCTAATGGTATGTGGTCGAAACTATCATGGTGGTGATCAACAGTCTGGTTGTGGCAACGGTTTTAATTGGTCTCAAGCTCTTCCTTATACACCTATTGGCAATACAGGTCCACAGCAAGTTGCAAATAATTTACCTTCTCCTGAACAACAAAAACTTGTAGTGCATGAAGGCGTTCAGTAAGTAATATCAAAATTTTTTAAATATTGATTATTAAAATATTTTTATTTAGATGTGATGCTTGTCACAATGTAGTTCAAGGTATTCGATTTGATTGTGTTCATTGTGCTTCATTAACATTCTGTGAAAAGTGTGAACAACGTTCTACTCTAGAACATTCAAATGAAATACGCAATCAACAAAAACCACAGCATGTTTTTCAACTGATAGCACGATCACTCAATGGAAACAATGGACAATAATCGATTTATTTATTTTTCTAAATGACATATATAACCAAGAGATCAGTTCTGCCAATGAATTAATAAATATTTCTTGTTGCTATAAAATTATTCAACGTACAGGAGAACTTCTTTTACACGAATTTGTATAATTTCTAAGTACCATATAAAACATTTATGCTTGTCTTGCAATGCTTTTCGAATATAAATAATATTGTCAGATGCTAGATATCATGATATATCAGTTATGAACATCAACAATTCTTTAATTTTCATAAAAATCAAATAATTTACTGATTCATACAATCGTCGTCTATGCAAATTATGCTTTCTTATGTCACCACTCATATAATAAACTTATATTTTCTCGTTGACATTTTTTTTTATGGAACATCAACTTTTCAAATATTCATTTTCTCAATTCAAAACAATTCTTTGTTTTTTCATAAACAAAACAAGGATCATTTTATATACTTGCTTTAAATATTTCATATGAAGTAAAAAAAAAAACACGATGGATTAATGTTTGATCTTTCTTTTAAAACTAATATGTCACCATAATAGTTGTCTATGACTCTACATTGACACCGTTTTGGTAGATCTTCATATGCTAATAATGCATTGGTTTAATAAGTATATGATAAATAATGGTAGACAACTCGACTACAATATATATCTTTAAAAATTTTCTGGCAATAGAAGATCCTCTCTTCCTAATTATTTAATTAGTTTCTTACAAAGTTGAAACTTTAATTCGTAAAAAGCTTTTAAAACCTTGAAAATATCTTCATAAATCCTCAAAATCATTCTGGATTTTTAAGAAATCATTGCAATTAAAAGTTATGAAAAGGAATGGAACAAAATAGAAGATCCGAGCTCTTCTATTGGGCGAGCCTTGGTGTTAGTATTCATTTCACGCATAGCCACGACCACACTTCAATCAATACTTATCTGAAATTTATAATTATATCTTATTTATAGATCATCATTCATATTTAGTTAGGGCTACAACTTAATGTTTAACAATTCAGAGTTTAACTTTTCTTTTGCTAATTGTCTTTAAATATATTTAACAATTTATTTTTTTTACATAGTATACTTCCACTAGACGAAAATATTTGACATGATTATTTCAATGTTTGTTTTTATCTTGTAGGATAGACTTAGACGGGAAGAACAAATATTTTTGCTAAATAAATATTCATAATATATTTAATTGTATATTCTCATAACATGAAACAATTAAACATTTCGGATAAAGTTTTTCGAATACAATTATCAAATAATAATAACAATCTTCAATATCATATCTTGAGTATTTAATTATATGGAAAAGTAGCCTTTTCTTTTATGACTATAATCTTTTCAAAATGGAATTGAAAAAGAGAATTTGAAAATCAATGTGAGGGTCGACAGTAAAAAGTTCGAGAGTATAAACATATTTCTTGAACATTTTGTGTAACTTGAAATTGAGGTCGT